ATTGATGGGATCTAAACTTCAGTGCTTTAAGATGTTTGAATAATAAATTCTTAAATTTAAAAAAAGTTTGTCTGCCTTTCTTTAAATTACTTTTACTGCTAGCCTTTCCAGCTTCAAATCTATCTTATTAAAATCGTACTTGAATTTAAACAAAACATCATATATTCCTATCAAAATGAAGCTAATAACATCAGAGGGGAATAATCAAGGCCATCAGCAACTTTCTCTGGCATTTGGCCAATGTTTGTCCAACTATCTGCGGCCATTTCGGATTTGGCTTTGGGGTCTGGACTTTGGGCTTTTGGACTCGATGTTGACTATTTGGGTTTTGTGTTGTCTATTTGAAATTTTTGTTTGCCATTTTAAGGCTGAGCTGTAAATGAGATTTTTCTCACATTTGCTTCTCCCATCATTGCTTTTCTTTCTCGTTTGCTTTCCGCCGCTGGCATTCTAATAGTAATTTTTATCTAGGACGACGGTGAATAAGGGGCAAAAGAGGGTTTTAGCCGGTCTTTCAGTGCGCCCAGTGATTACAGTCCAGGGTCTGGAAGTCTATAAGTAATAATCAACTTTTTGTGGAGGGCAGCGGAAAAGGTTTCTTATGACAGTTCCTTGTGGAGAGCTCTGGCCCAAGAAAAACAAACAGAAAACTTCAATTACAGGACACGAAAATGGTTGGAAAATTGAAAACGGGGCAGAAGGGGAAAGTGAAGGCATCTCTATAACTGAAAACTTTCATTTCAGGCCGACGAAAAAGCGGTCTTAGTACACAGACAGAAATATTATTATTATATTATTATTAGTTAGACAGAAATACTATTACCCTCTTTAAATCTTAAGAAATAGGAAACAAAGTTTCGATATTATTTTTTAATTGTTCTTTTCACGCATAATCTTTTGCCAACTCCACTCACTTCTTACCTTATTTTCTGTGTGTACTGAAGTAATTGGTCGTTAGTTGAATAAATATTGCTCCCAAAGTTCTTACACAACAAGGCTTAAAAGCACTTTCACTCCACTATACAAATCCTTTGCTATGGAATTCCATGGCCTGCCAGGATTACCAACCCAAAGGGATTTCCAATCTATTTCCTTGCTACCTCCGTTTTCCTTCTTATCCCGGCTAACAGAAAACCTTTGACATGGCCAGCATGTCTAAATGCTGAAACATTAACTCAACTAAAGAACTTCATTATGGGCCCGGGTGCTAATAAATCTTTTGAGTCGTTCTACCTTTTGACTCCTGCTAGCAACAATGAATCATAATGAGTGCTCGACGCTGGCCAAACAGCCGAGAAGACAAAGGGGCCCTTGGAAATCAGCATTCATGCAATCGTACGCCCTGTCGTACACAGCCAAGGAAACCAAACCAAACACAATTCGGGCTAAGAAAGCTAAGCTGTGGCCAAGTCGTAACATTATGGCGTGACGGCAAAGTAAGCAATAAGGCGTAGCATAAATTAGCCGAATAAACAGAAGTGAAACAAAGGGCGAAAACAACTTTAATGTTTGTTAAGCAAATATTATCCCCGGGCTGGGGGATTTCCCGGAGGATGGAAAGGGTCCCATTAGAAGTTGCCCCTCCGGTTATGTTACACACGTATTTGCCGCTGTTGCCAAACCCCAAACAACAATGAAACGTCTTTATGTGACTATTATCTGAACATAACCCAGGCCAATGTGCAATTAACTGTGACATCCCACGTCCCTAGGCCTATAGCTTTCATTTCCAAATATGAGGCTCTGAAATATATGACCACAGATTTAAGCCAAAAACTCGTTCCGGGTTCACTTCCAAAAGAGTTTGTCTAGCGAGAGGCGGTAAATAAAATTTGAAGAGGATTGAGAATGGAATGCTCCCAGAAATAATTCCCCGGGGCTTCCTGTAGCTGGCAATAATATTTCTGAATACATATCTTTTATATTTATGTTATAGTCAATTCCCTTTATTGGTATTAAACAAAATGCACTTATATTTGTGTTGTTTTTAAATAGAAAACTTTGTTTGTTTGTTTTCCAAATGGACTTTTTTACAAAAATCCACAGATAAATAAAAATAAATAAGAAGAGCAAGAAAATCAGAAAATTTTATGTAATAAAAAATTATGAAAAGTTTGTGCATATTAATTTAGATTGGGAGACATCCTGTCCATTACCATTCAATCCTATTACGTTGACCAATGAATCGAAAACACATTAAACACTGTAAACAGCACACAATAAAATCGCAAAAAGCAAACCAATTTAACGTCACACAATCTCTCAATTATTCCTAATTTATTGGCATTTTATGAACAGCATATGGACCGAATGCAATATATCTTTGCCGGCCCCCAACCCCCATGAAACCCATCGAACTGCCCACACAGATGGAGATGGTAATGCGCTTAGAGAGAAGCCAACAACCGGCAGAGTCATTTCCATGCATATAGGCTCCCCTGAGAGGCTTATACCCCCCACAGCAATCCCTGCCATTCCGATCCCCCAAAAATATCGGGTATTTCTCTCCTTTTCAATGGGGGAAAAAAGGTAAATATGATGTGAGGCGCTTATTGAATTGAATTTGTTGACTAGCGTTTTTGTAGAGCGCTCTTCCCCACCACAAAAACCTTCAAATCTGTCACAGCTGCTGTCACACGCTGCAATTCGAAGTTTTTTTTTTGTCCTGATATTTACGTGTAGTTATGCAACATTTTTCGTGCCTAGAAGGCCGTTGCGTGTGTCCCGAAATCAATCATACGCCGATATCGACACAAACAATACGGCAAACAAAGCGAACCAAAAAATACGCCGAAACAAAGCCCAAAGTAATGCGATATTTTTTATTGATTTTCATTGTGTCTCTCTTGTGGGAAAGGGTGCCGCGGGGCTTTTGCTCGGGGCGCCGATATGAAAAGTACTTGATGTTGGCAATATGCGGGCCCACTTGACTCCGAGCCAATGCCTTTCAAATGCAAAATGCAGAAGCTTTTAAACTGCACGCCCTGCGCTGAGTTCCATAACATAATGGCTTTAAAAAGTATAATAATTTTATGTCGGAATTAACTTAAGAATTGAATGCACCCATTTTAGTATTAGAAAAATGTTTTTTTATTAAGTATAACAAATATTATATTTAAGAATCGTTGACATAAAAAATATGATAGAAAACGGTAGAAATAATTTTTAGACTGTTTTGATAGAATTTGTTAACACATTGGCAATGAAATAATTAAATTAAAAAAAATAAACTACAACCTAAAATAAAACGTTTGTTTTCCAAATATTTTATTAGCTATCAGAGGAAGGAGGTTAATAACAAAGCATTTTATAAAACAGAATACACCCAGTAAACACTTTTAGTGCAATTCTTTTCGTTTGAAAATGTAAAACAATACTAACAATATCAACTATTTTAAAACCAAGAATTACCTTTCTTCGAGATTATATATTCTTCACCATTTTCAAAAGTGAACAATAATCAAGGGCATGTTTACAATGCCTTGAAGGGTGTACAAAGATCGCATTTTCTTATTGCATTGTTCATGTATTGTTATTTGGCCAACAATTTTTCTGCTGGCCTATTTTCTTAGCTTCTTTGACTTTCATGTGTGCCCATGCCTGTGTGCCGCTGGTTTCACATTTGTTACTGATATTTTATGACACTGTAAACATTTTACAATGCGAATTCCGTTTCCATGGGATGAGCTCTAGTTGGTACACTTCTGCCAGAGCGAGTGTGTGCTATCCATTCAATATGCTCAGCAGAGCAAAACATGTTTCTATGGCGCTGTGTCCTTGCGAGTCCTTTTCACCCGCCGCCCCTCGGAATGTGCGAATATGAGTGTGTTTACACGCAGTGAATTGCGGGCAAAAGTAAAATTTTTCTTTATTTTTTGAGGTCAATTAAAAGGGGTTGGATTCTAGTTCAGTTCATGCCGTACTATCAATCATGTTCGCGCTTTTTTCGTTTTTTCCTCTGTAATTAGTTAAGCAGTAACTAATTGAAAACATCTTAGAGATTTGTTTGGTGGTGATTAAGTAAGTTTTCGGACAGGCCATCAAGTGATATTTGTCAAAAAACTGACAATTCCGTGGCGTTAGTGCGTGTATTTTCTTTTCCCATCATTAATTACCCAAACGCTCCCCGAATTGCTCGAGCTTTCCATGTTTGGCCTGTCAGTTGATTGGACAAGCGAGAGTGAGTAACTCGCGAGTCTGGCAAACACGAAAAACATTTGCTGGAAATGTTGAAAAACTTTGCCAGATAGAGCTGCGGCAACTTAAGTGCTTTTGTACTGGGATTGGGATTGAGAGGGGAAAAATGCATAAAAATCGATAGTCAGATGATTGAGAAGATTGCTTCAAAGTGGTTATATTATCTGCCCTGGAACCAGATGTATAGCTTGCGGGAAGTCCGCCAACAAAAGGCTTGAAGACCTTCAGTTTCAAACACTCAGTTCCTTAAGCTATGATTTTCTTTAAATTTAAAGAGTGTTGTGACTCAAAGGGTGAAAGTATGTTATGGTTTAAGCATTAATGAATATAAAAATGTGGTTTATTCGAACATGACTTGTTAAAAAATTTCCTGGAAGCTTTTTTTGTAATTTTTATTTAAATTTTTAATGTTAAATTTGTTCTTATAAATTCACGATTTTCCTCAAATTGTTTTTCAGTTCAGTGGGATCTTAACTCACTTTAAGTCAGGACTTGCGCTCATGAAACATTCACATTTTTGACCAGAATCGAACACAAAGTCCGTTATATGCAATCATGAGATATTTACACTACCACAGACATTCAAGGCGAACAAATTGTCGCAATAAAATGCACAAAAAATAAAGTAAAATAAAATAAAATGAATGCTCAATATGGAACGGCGTATGGAAAATGTTTAACTATTGATTGGTTTTTGGATAAAAAGAGAGTAAATAGCCATCGCCGCATACCAAAACAGCACTCAAACACTCAATTTATGCGAATGACTTTTAAAGCTTTCCATTTATCTGGTATTTTTTCAGGCGGACTATTTTTTAATGGAAGCCCCCGGAACGAGAATAATAACCAACCGTAGGGAACCAGCCTCATCAGCGACATGATCCCTGCAATGTCCGCGTAATGAAAACGAAACTTAAAAAGTTTTTGTGCCGTCGCTGAGCGGAAAAACAGCCCAGGAAAAGTCAAAAATAATACAAATAGGGAACAGAAAATGAAGTCTGTCATTTTGTATCCATATGGACCGCTAACCGGCGGCACACGTTGCTGTCGCATGTTGCATGCCAAAAATTTGGCCATAACAAGTGCAATTTACACAATTGTAAGTGTTTGGGGGGAATGAGCTGCCACAGGGGGCGTATACGCAATGTGGACAAGTATGTAATTTGGTTCTCGTTAGTTGGAAATGCCAGGTATGAAAACAAAAAGCCACGAATAAAAACAGGAGCACGAAATCAGCAGTTGCGGCTGGTATTATATTCGCCTGTTAATTGTGGCATAATTAATAGACAAGTGTCGTCGACGAGAGTTTTTCTGCAACCATTCTGAATGTGCCGTGGCATACCTCAACGTCATTATTATTATGAAGGGCAGGAAAAATGGGAAACCAACCGCGACTATTCCCCTTCTGACACTAGAAAAAAACCGCATGAATGTAGGAAATTTTTGTCGCTGAAATTTTTTCTATTTATTTAAAAACATATTTATTTTATGTTATAAATTAAAAAGTAGGCAACTATTTCCATTTTCCAATATTTCTAAAATTTAGAAATTGATTACTTTTAAAAATATATTATTTTTCAAACCCAACTACAAAATTCCATTAATATAAGAGCCTTTTATTAATTATTGGAATTATATTATTAAATCTAAAACCAAAATTGTTAAATCAACAATATTTAGATGCTTAAAACAAAAAAATTATTTTCTTTTAACTTAAAGTTTTAAAAGCGTTTACCACTATTTTTGTTTTGTTCACGACTTCTGTCTTATTCAACCCTCTATCTAGAAAATATAAATATATCCATGCCCCAGCGAACCTCGCCAAATGGATAGACAAAACGAGAGCAACTTGCAGTCGTTTCTCTCATCCCTCGACTTGTGGCATGTATAAATTACAATTACATGATGCTCGTTATGGCTTTTAATTTATGTTAATGGCAAAATCGTGCTCTGGGTTTCTCCGTATTATTTTATATACTTCTTGTAAGGACAATGGAGAGCTCGAGACAATTACAAGAAATATAATGCAATGCAACTTGACGGCAAACAATAGACATATTATACCCGTTGCAATGCCAGTTACCAACTCGTGGCGAGTAAATTAGTTTTTGTTTAAGGAGAGAACTTAAGTGTTTGGCTTCTGCAATTAGTGCTGCATTTTATGGCAGTTACGAGCACAACCTCGGACGCAACAAGAGAGATTTCCCCCTGAGCCCCACTTTCCAGCCAAGTAAACGTTACGTGTTTAGCATAAGCCTGGGATAAGAGCGCGGAGAGGGTTCCCGGGGTGGGAAGGTTACTACTGCTAGTGCAGTCACGACACATAATGGATGTATCCTAAAAGCACGCCATTTCGCATTTGTTTACCATAGTGGCTGCTTATTTACTGAGCCTCGAGGCATGGCCCAGGTATTATCGGTTCTGCAAAATTGGATTCTCATTAATGTAGCACTTTTGTGAACCCATTGTGCCGAAATAACTATGATAATTTAAAATTTAATTTTTTTGTATCAATTAGTTTCCATCAAAATGTAAGTTTACAATATTAGTTAATTCATGAAACTCATCCTAAAAGAACCCCGCTATTATTTTTCCTGATATAAAGCTTGAAGTTTTTTTTCATGTTATTTGTAAATCAATTTAATCCAAAATTGTATTGTCCTAAATTTAAACTTAAAAGATTTATAAGCTATAAAAAAGGATATAAATTGATGTTTTTTTTTAAATTTACACCTCCCCTGACTTATGAGATTCATTATTAAACATTAACAAACTTTTAGATCTTATCTTAAATTTATAAAAGTTGGAGTCGTGAAATTCCCTATTAAATGGGAATCAAATTTCAGGAACTTATTGCCTTGTCCCTTTGCAGACGAGCGACAACCAACACGAAAACATTTTCACGGATTAATTAGCAAAAAACCCGAGCGAACACCTCAGACCCTAAAATCAAATTGGGTTCAGACCCGTTTAAAAGTAAAAACGTGTTGAGCAAAGCAAACGGGAAAGAGTTGGATTAAAAAGGCGGAAAAGTGGGGGTGGCAGAAACATGAGGGTAGACTTTGATGACCCATGAACCATTTTATATGCGGGTGCACACTGCGTATGCGTGTTATGTTCGCCAAATACATTTCCCATTTCTCTGGTGACTCATTTTGTGTTTTGTCTTATGGCTCTTTTAGAATATATCGCTTTTAATCGTACTGATATACTCGTGGCGCATAAATGTCAATATGCACAAGTCGGCCGATCTGCAGGACGTTTACTACGGTAAGTTCAGAGTTCAGGCAAGTCTGTCTGGTAATTAAGCACACAGAAGCTTGTTCGAGCCAAAACCCAAAGCGGCTATAAACCCGAAAACTGAAACGACAAGCAGCCACATAATAAATAAAGCCATTTTAATAAATAAATTAAATGTAGATGAGAACGGAGGCAAGTGACCCACAAAGGAATAAAATTGGTTGGTATATATATGAGTGCAATATGTATATGAATTATGAGTGCGACGGAAGCTGAACACTTAATTTTTGATTAATGGGATCAAACTTAAATTCAATTGTTAATGGCCTTTTTATTAGTAATTTATTATAGGAATACCAATTTCATTATTTTATACAAAATCAACCTAAAGACTAAATGTAAGGTCAATTCATTATAAAAATTAAAATTTAAATTAGTTCGCTAATTAGTAAGCTACTTGTGTGAATAAAGTTTTGGCTCGAATAAAAGTTTTCCGAAAATGGTACAATACAATAGTTCAGACACGAACTGTTAATTTAATTATTTATCTATGCTTTAATCTTGACTTCAATTTATACATTGCAGGTGTGCAAATAGCATATTTTGCCATAATCGGCACACAAATGTCCATGATATTGCTGAGCATTGTGTTAATATTTGGAATATGCCGGGTGAGTTTTCCTGTTTGATTAAAAGCTTTAAACATTTTACAGTATTAAGCGCATTGTCGGCCCACCCCAAACGCGTTGCAAACACATCCCGCCCACAAATCGAACGACTCAAAGTCAAATATCCGCAAATTATGCGCATTGTGCCCGAGCCTGTGCGCCAGGAAATGTTTACCAAGCAAACAAAGCACATTCAAATGTAAATTACGCAAAGCGCTCATACCGCGTGGTTGCCTTCTCAGAATTCTAATATGATTTTTTGAGTGCGAAATGTTACACGTGGTGTGCCAAATATACACTAATAAAATTTGAAGAAAAAAATAACAACAAATTGGGAAAGATTGTTTTTCCGTCAATTATAATCGATTATAATAATTATTAATCAATCAAACAGAATTCTATATATTAAGTAGTTATACCTGCAATTTAATAAAAAATTACTTAAATTTTTTATTTTTTTTCAACAATATTATCTGAATAAAAAATAAAACTAAAATTAATTTAATCAATAAAATCCACCATTTTTTTTTAAACTTTTAAAATTTTTTCTTGTTATGTCCTTAGCTAGAAAAATTACTCAAATATACAAAAACATATATTTAAACCCCTGTGCATGTGCGAGCATCTATAGAATTCCTCGTATGAACAAGACCGCCCCAGAAACGGAAAAACCCAGAAATGCCATTGACAGCGGCATGAAAATGTGGACAATTTGTCACACAATTGGCACAGGACTGGGGCTATGCCCTTACTGACTGACTGAACTGGAACCGAGCTGCCAGGACTCATGACGGGGATTGCATATCCAGAATTCAGTTTGGGTTTTGTTGCTGAGCAATTGCCAGCAACATTTTGTGGAATTTTTTAATTTTCACTCTGACAGCCAAAAAAGAAGCGCGATTTCCATTCAAAATGAATGCCAACGCTTCCCCTGCCTTATGTAAATGAAAATGTTACCAAGTCCGTTTAATGGTCAAATTAATTGCAGTTCGCTAATAGGCGCCCCATTCTTAGGCACTCGAGCTGAGAGCTCGCAGCTGATGGCCATTATTGGTTCTTAATTAGGCTACACGAGTATTTGGACAACAAATGCGAGGGAAACAAGCAAAAGTTGCGGCCGAAATTGAGGTTGATAGCTTATATAATAGATAAACATTTCATTGTTTTCCTTACAAGCTCTTACGGCTTACAAATTACACACATTAAATTCAGCATTTAAGCTTTCAAAATAATGGAATGAGAAAGAGAATTTAAGTGCTATTAATTTACCAGAATTTAATATTTTTAAGGGCTTCTTTATTTATGTGGATATTATTTGCTGTGTCGATTAACAAGTTTTATAATAGAGTTCGTCAAATAAATAAGGACAAAGTAAAAATTGTTTTATTTTAATTTCTTAATTTTATTAAAGCGATTTAAAACGTTCAATTTAAGGATACCCCAACATAATAACATAATTATCATTAAAAATTTTTAATTTAAATGTAATCTATTCCCGATATAAAATTCAGCTTGCTGCCGGAAAGCTGTAACTGAACTTTAGTTTATATTAGTTCCTTATTCCTTCCTTCTTAAAGTTTTAAATACATTTTTTCTTGCGTTCATTGAATCTTTCATAGTTTCTATCGTTTATTAAATTAACCTAAATAAAATGTTCATTATGGGATTACATATATTTTCATAAATTAGGCAAGCATTTTAAGTCCATATTAAAATGTAATCCGCTGACAAAATACATTTCCTATGGCCCCACAAAATTGCCATGCAAAACGTTGTGGCTAAAAACTGTCAGCTGCACATCAGAAATTCCCAACGTGCTCAGCAAAAATTTGTAGCACATGAAAAAGCCCCAAAAAATCCAATCAGAGGTTTTACCACCATGGCGAGATAAATTACACCGCACTCACGCTTTTTAACACCCACATCCGTGCCATATTTTATAGTATAGCCATGAAATCAATAGCTTCAATTCTATACAGGTACTGGTTTTTATGGCCCTTTTTACTTGACTTTCTAATGGCAATATATTGAAGGTGGTTTTTGTTTTTCGATATTCCATAGGAGAACCCCGGACTAATTGTACCCTGGATAATTGGCTATATAACATTTATGGCCCTGGAAGCTGTCGCCATGGTCTACTCCAATGTGCTGCGCGATCATGTAAATAAGGTGAGTGTTCCATCAAATCCCCAGCGGCGGCGGAAAATGTTTTTAATGCATATTGAGGATGTTTTCATTTCGATCTGCTGTGGGAACCATTTGTTTAATGAAAAACATCTCACACAAAGGATTCAGCCCCATCGGGGGGCATCCTTGTTGCATAAGCAGACTATCAATTGCGCCACAGCTCGGCGCCTGGCATAAATCAATGGGCATCAACGGCAAAGGCAAACAAATAAATTACAAAAAGCCTTCAGCGACGACAAATCAAACCGAATCCGTTACATATGTAAAAAGTTGCTGGCTTCCTTTATGCTAAAATCAAGCAAAAGCAAAGACCTAGTGGCTGTGGCTTATGGTCGGAAGTTGGCGACAGTTGAATGCATTGCCGGCAAAAGCATTGAATGAAGTTTCCAAGTAAATGTAAACACAATCCCATGTGCAACAGGCGCTGAATTGAAAAGGGGCAAAGGGAAACCGGAAGCGGACACGGAGGCGGAGATGGATAGACAACCAGACCCACATGTTCGATTTAGGGCAAATGGAAAACAAAAATTGTTGATTAAAAGTTTTTGCAACTTTGGGAATGACTCTTAATCTGTGAATAATTAAAAAGCAAATATTTTAAAATAAAAGAAAATCATTGATCTAACTCGATTATATTCAAAGACTTTAGCTTCGTATTATTATTTTTAATTTAACTGGTTTATTATTTTATTTACATTTTTTAAATTTGGTTTAAATATGGTATTATTTAAATGATTGGGGTTGTTGTTTTTTTATTCATTTTTAATTTATTTTTTTTAGAATTCCTCCTAATCAAAAAATTGTAAAATAATTATCTTGATAAAACAATTTTCGCGTCTTGACATTGAAGACCTCGACTGGCTAATTCATTTTTTAACGTAATCCTGCCGCAACCAAAGTGCCTGCCTCAAACAAATGAAGCGCACAGGACCCGTCTAAAAAATAGAAAACCTGGGGGATAAAACCAGACCCCCCACACATAAAAATTCAGAGTCAAACAGACGAACAAGAGCCCTCTACACACTCGCACTTAAAACAAGCGACAAAGTCAAAGCGCCACAAAAGGCGGTGGAAGGGGGGCGTGCCGGGAAAACCGGGAAAGGGAGGTAGGGGGTCGGAAAACTGAAAGACCAGCGGCACCCAAACAGTGATACAAACGTATCTAGGACTATGTAGCTATGTGGATCTATTCCGTCTGCACATATGCAATGAGTTGGGCATTTTTCTGCACCATTTTCCTTTAGTATTTTACATTTGTCTGTGTCGCACGGCATTTGTTTTTGTTGTTCGGCCTTTTCTATTACGAACGTGTTCTGCTTTTCTACGGTTTTCGTTTCGTTTCGTTTGTTTTTCCGCCTAGCCGGGGGACACGGAAAGTTTTTTCTCCCGGAAAATTGTCACCTCATGCATAATTTATTGCAATCCAGAAGGTAAAAATTCATTTTTCTCTGTTCGGGCATCACAAAGTTTTGCGTTATGGTTTGAGTTTTTACTAATTTGTTGTTTAGAGTTTTTTTGTAAAATTTCCAAATCATTTGCGCACGAGTTTTATGCTCTCAATTAGCGATTATGGAATTTACGTTAGGCACACATTTCGCAAATCATTTTAAGCTTACCCCTAAAACTCGTATATTTTCAAACAATTAAGAGTACCTCGAAGTGGTTTACCACTTAGGGCTTCCTCTGAAATTTGAGATTTAATTTATGGCGCCAGCTAAACCGCTTGAAATAATTCAATTCGCCTGTGTTCTAAGTCAAACTTTCCATTTTCACGCTAGAAACTTTTCCTTCGCCCTTGCAAATTGCTTTCCAAAACAGAAGGCAGCCAACAATTTTCGCAACTATATTTTTAGTTTTTTGTTTGGCTTTTGCGGGCCAGCAAATCGTGAAAAAAATTAAGCATAATTCATAATGTAATTAAATAAAACTTTTACTTTCAGCAATTTGATGCCATGTGCAAGGCCGAGGTGGCCTTCTTTATAGCTCGAGCCCTGATTAACGTAAGTTGAATAAATATTAATAAAATGCTAAAGCTGGAGTGAATGAAATGAACACATAAATAAATAGACACAATGATTTTTATTGATACATTTGAATGCTACTGAGCATATTTTAGTAAAGGTTGTATGAATGGCGAACAGAGCATCAACTTCTCTGGAGTTTCCTGTTTTAGGGCTGTGGCAAATGCCCACTTCGACTGATAAACAAGCCAGATGGTCAGTACATATACGGACAGATAGATTGTGGCTCGCGTTCGATGACCTTTCGTGTGCCACAACAGTAAAATCACCGTTACCAGTTTCCAAGCAAATATCGCCAGGTGGATCCACAACCAGGGAACCATGTGACTAGGAGACACCTAAGAAAAAACCATCTTAGTAACAATCTTATAAGGAAGTCAACAAGACGTTGCATACTTTTAGACAAATCTACAATAATAAATATTTCCACTTACATAAAAAGCCGCATAAAACAAACTCCCCCAGACATTAGTTAGTATAAAGGCGTTTAAAATACTCAATCTTTTGGCCACTTTTGGATGTAAGCCATGGACTTTCCACATACTTTTACTAACCACCTTTTTGGTAAAGAATAACCGTATGAATCGAATGAGATGGTGCATCTGGTTGAAATCTCGGTCAATAGCTTGAATTACAATTAAATTTACTTCATAACATACCGCTCCATATAGACTAAATATTAGGACGAACCAATAATATATGGGATAGGTGGATATGTCGCACAGCAGGTAATTGTCTAAGCTGCGCCTGAAACTCCTCCATGGCCTGGAGTCCAGAAAGCTAAAGAACTGTGTCCTGTCCCGGCAGGCATCTGCAATCACATCATACGAATTTCCAAGGCGACAAAGATGATATTTAAATGATAATAAACTGAACATGCCGCAAATACGTGATACAAAAGCAGTTCATGGAAAATATGACTACAAACTATCACACGAATTTTAAGAAATTGCTTATAGCATGTCAAAACTTGAACACTAAAACAAAGCAAGGTTGCAACAAAAATCGGGCCTTATTTATGTGCTCAATGGCTTACGCATCAGTCAATAACAATAGAGGCTAATTGCCTTGGCGCACATCCCACCCAAGGCTTAATCAATAGATGTAATAAATAATTTAATTACTAGCTAAGTCCATTAGTCCATTAACGCAGCATACAAATGTGAGCCCATGTATTTCTAGAAAAAAAATTCGAGTGTGTGCGAATGTATCTGCGGGGTGGGATTTTATCTAATGGATATTTATGATAGTCAATTTTTTGCATTCCTTTTCGAACAGGTGCTGGCCATGTGGGGAGTGCTGCGCTTCTACAATTTGGTTCGCTCTGGAATTACATGGCGAGGACCAGAGGTAAGTCAATTAATCAACACCTAATGGAAGCGTGGGAGTCGCAAATAAGATTTGTAATTTATTTAGTCAATGGTGGACAAGAAATTTTATTGCTCTTAAGCCTTTGACTTTCATCTTCTTACTAACATAAAAGGAAGAAAATTAAATATTTTATTTAAGGTATTAATGTTTAATTAATAAAGACCAAGATAATTTATTCCTCAAGAATGTAGTAGATTTTCCAATAGTGTGTTTTACAGATTATTTAAAAATTTTTAAGATCGTGGAAAATTAAATTGTTAACATTACTTATATTATTCTTACATATTACTTTGTTATAACAACATTAATTGAACAAGAAATTAATATCCTTTACTAACTAACTAAACGTTTCTAACTAGTCAAGAGTTAACTATTCGCTGCTGTAATTATTTAATGGGTTAAGACATTGGAATTATTTCTAGCTTATGTCCCTTTCAATTTTCGTGCTCCCACTGACTATTATAGATATTAAGATTTATTTTTTCCTTATTAATTAACTTATTTTACTAATTAATATGAGTATTAATCACATCAATAACCTGTATTTATAACCCACCTAACTCATTCGATATCCTCCCATTTTCCTAGGCGAAGACCGCAATTTTTGCGCCGATGTACAAGAGTGTTAGTACGAACAAGCCGCACACATACACGTACAGCAAGCGGTCAAGGCGTCGCCATAGCATTGATGCGCCTTCCGGCGGATGCTGCGCCATCTTCGATTTTGATTTTGAATACGACGACGATAACGATGACGACGATGACGAGGCCTATGGCGATGGCCTGGACACGGAGGATGAGGTGGGCTATGATTACGACGACTATTACGATTACTACGATGACGACGAGCTGGCGGAGCAGCAGCAGTTGGGACTGCAGCAGGACGACGCGGACTGCAGCATGTTGGGCGCCAGTAAGGCCAGTAGATCGCGGTCCAAGCCACGGTCCGCTGTGGTTAAGGTCAAGGGTCAGCGGAGTGGAGGTCGCCGCACCAACAACAACATCCGCAGCGTACTGATCAACAAGCGGCACAACAAGTACAAAATTGCCCGACCCCAAACGCAACTGGAGGTCATCAACGAATCGGAGAAGAGCGCGGGGAGCGGCAGCGATGAGAACGATTCGCTTTTGGTGGCCTATGACAGCAGTTCGTCGATGGCGTCGGTTTGACATTGGCCGCCATGCAAATCGGGAACCGGAAATGGAAATGCAGCCATTGGGGCAGAGGCAAGTGCAAGTGATAGATCCAGTGGCACGAATGACCGGGGAAAGTGTCACAACAATAGCGACTGCGACAGTGGGGACAACACGGCCGGAAGCGGAAGTGAGACCGACGACGACGGCGATCCTGACGAGGGCCAGTATCTGGAACCTGGGTGGACGAAGGGCGTCCGCCTCGGTGGTCAATGTTGTGGTCAGCGTCAGCGCCGACGTCCACTGCGACGCGTCTACTGCGCTGTGAATCTGTCCATCATGGGCCTCCTGGTGGCCGTAGAGATATACGCACAGATCGCCATATTCCTGTAGATCAGAGGACCCCTTATCTAAAACAAAAATCTTTCTTCCAAGGGCAGAAAATATAATTTTGTTCCGAAGATAAAAAGATAAGAAAGAAAAACCCATTAAATGCCAGCAGAGATTACAGCTTTAAGTGTAAATAAAATAAACACAAATATGATTAAAGAAACAAAAATTAAATGTTGGTCTCTTTCGATTTCTGCTAAAACTTTTACAATACCGTCTTAAAATATCTCATATGACAACTCAAATATCATAAAGCATTGGACATACATAATTATTTATGAAATATTTTGTGTCGAATGGTTACAGTAACAGAAAAGGATTTATAGCTTGTTTTAAAAGCGAATTCGAAAAATGTTATAGGCTTACTTCTCTCGAAATCGTCTAATATGTTGTTTAAAAAATTTGAAAATTAAAATACATGCGAATATTTTTCTGTTTTTCTATAACTATATTGTTTATCACGAATTCATATAAAGCTTTAAAAGATTTCTATGAAATCTTATTTAAGCAGTGGATAAAAATTCAAGTAGACTTTTGTCTTAAAAACTTAATATTCTATATCATCCTCTCAGCTAAAATTTTGAAAGTCAACTTAAAAATGCAGCATTCTAAATGTAAATAAGTCCACAAAAAGGTCAAAGTTAGCAAAAATGTCAGTAATAATAGGAACAATAATAGCAGTAACTATAAATGTATAAAGATATTGAAAGAAAATGTCCTATCCAAAAAGATACAAAATCCTTAGCATATTTAAAAGCTCTCCAAGAGATAAAAGAACAATTTTTGTGTTAATAAGCATAAAATATTCCCAGTATTAAGTTAACAGATAAAAGCCACTGTATTGCAAAGCCCAAATCAAAGCTTTAAAATATTTAAATGAAATAAATCGCATGTCTAACCAAATAAAGAAGAAGCCCGAACAAAAGAAACAGAAACAATAAAAATACAATTTGTCAAAAAAGATAAACGATTAAAATGTTTATGAAGTGCTTAGGAAATTACTTTGTAAATACTTCCAGCTATCTCAAGTTTATGACGGTGACGTACAAGAAAGTAAGCAAAAAAAAACCATATCTATAAATGTTGTATATATAGAAGGTAATATTAAGTACAGTTGCGCCAAAAAAAAGAACGCTAGACAGCCAGTTAAAAACTAACCAATAAATGTGAGTTGATGTATACCTTACGATAAACCAATAATAAACACTTGATATTTGTGGAAAAAAGTCCAACATCCAGCGTTATTAATGAAAGATAACCAAACGTGCTGGGCACGTGAAAGAGGAAGAAGCTCTATCCGGATCACAAGTATTTAATTTGGCCCCCACTCAGTCGGGAATCGGCCTAATCACGGGGGCCAAAACTAATTAAATGATAATGCCGGCGCTGGGAACGAAGCAGCCGAATCTGGGGACACGTGAAGCAATCAAAGCATCAACAAGTACCGATATCGACCCGCAAACACGGCCGCAATCAGGGGAATCTAATCAATCATCAGACGGCCAGTTGGTTTAAAAGCACCCGCTCTTCCCAGGGGCCAAATCAGTTGCGAAACATGAAGGGTCTAGTGTTGATTGCCTTGAGTGGCCTCTTCTTGGCCAGTGCCCAGGCCAGGATCCTGCCGAAGGAGGATCTCCTCTGGGAGTTGCCTGCCGTTCCGGAAGTGGTTAACGAGATTGAGCCCAGAGCAGGTGAGTTACAAGAAAAGGGTTAGAAATGATATAGGTTCTTTAACTAATTATAATAGCTTTTCAAAGTTAGTAAATATGAAGCTTTCATTCATAAACACTAGAACCTAAAACTCATTTCAATTTAATTACTAGGCTAATTAATCCCATAATATTCATACAAAAACCCCCACACCATTTCAGCTGGTTGCTCCATTAAGATCCGTAGTTCTGAGCTGAAGGATCCCCAGCCTCTGCTGATCAAGTCGGGAACTTCGGAGATCGCTGGCTTCTCGGACACCGGTTATGTGGATGTGGACAAGGACAAGACCATCGAGTTCCACTGCACCAGTAGCCTGGCCTCTCCGCTGTCTGGAAAATCGGTGACCGCCAAGTGTGTGGGTGGCACCACCTTCAAGATCGACGACAAGGAGCACGACCTGTCCGCCATCAAGTGCACATCCTGGCCAGCTTTTGTGGGCAAGAAGTCGGGTTCCAGCTGCAATGGCGGCACCACCCTGATCAAGGTGGGCTTTGAGCTCTCCGGCTCGCGATTCGCCACCCAGTACGAGGTGTGCTTCAACGAGGACGAGGAGGTGACCCGGTATGTGTACCATCGTCTGGAGCCGGGAAACAACTACTATGCCACTGGAGTGGATCGAATCACCTTCGGTGCTGGCGGTTATTTTGCGGGTAAAAATGTGGACAAGCTGTACACGCAAGCGGTGCAGAAGGAGACCATCGACAAGGAGTTGGACATGGACTCTGCTCACTACTTCGACTCGGCCAAGAACATTTTCCTGGCCCGCGGTCACATGGGTGCCAAGGCTGACTTCGTGTTTGCCCCGGAGCAGAGGGCCACCTTCCTGTTCATCAACGCTGCTCCCCAGTGGCAGACCTTCAATGCCGGCAACTGGGCTCGCGTGGAGGACGGAGTCCGTGCCTGGGTGGCCAAGGAGAAGAAGCATGTGGAGTGCTGGACGGGAGTCTGGGGAGTGACCACTTTGGCCAACAAGCACGGAGAGCAGAAGCAGCTGTATCTGTCGCACGATCACAATGGCAACGGCCTGATCCCAGTGCCCAAATTGTACTTCCGAGTGGTCATCGAGCCCTCGTCGAGGAAGGGCATCGTTCTGATCGGCGTGAATAATCCCCATTTGAGTCTGGAGGAGATCAAGCGAGACTATATCGTCTGCTCGGACGTCAGCGACAGGATCAACTGGATCAGCTGGAAGAAGACGGACATCACCGCTGGCTATTCGTACGCCTGCGAGGTCGCCGAGTTCCGCAAGAAGGTTACTCACCTGCCCGAGTTCTCTGTCTCTGGTTTGTTGGTCTAAGTTTCTTACTGTGTTAATAAAATCTTCGTATATTGTAATGTATTTGTTTTACTTTAAAAACTTCGGGAATTGACTTGAAAGAACTGTTAGAAATGGATTAACCATTAAAGAAACTAGAAAAAAGAGTAGATAGTATTTTATTTTATTTATTTACTTATTATTATTATCTTAGCACTGCAAGTATACACTTATATTTGTAGCCTTAGTCACATTAAATTTGAAAAGCAAGCTTATTTGAACAAAAAAAACTTAAAACTATTACTTATTACTAACAATTTTAAATTAGACATATGTTACTTTTATTATTTTCTTATATTATTACATAGGGATTGATTAATATTTTATGATAATTATTATTATTTTGACTTTAGTTTAATTTTTATACCCGTTACTCGTAGAGTAAAAGGGTATACTAGATTCGTGCAAAAGTATGTAACAGGCAGAAGGAAGCGTTTCCGACCCTATAAACTATATATATTCTTGATCAGGATCACTAGCCGAGTCGATCTAGCCATGTCCGTCTGTCCGTCTGTCCGTCTGTCTGTCTGTCCGTCTGTCCGTATGAACGCTGAGATCTCGGAAACTATAAAAGCTAGAAGATTGACACTTTGCATGCAGATTCTAGGAGTTCCTACGCAGCGCAAGTTTGTTTCAAAAGAGTGCCACGCCCCCTCTAACGCCCACAATCCCTTATATACGATTTTAAAAATTTCAATATTTCGGAAAAGTAAAAATGCAGTTTTATGGTGTTTATCAATACCTATCGAAATGTAGAAGAAATTTTTCAAATCGGTCCATTCGTTAAAAAGTTATGCGTGATCAACGTTTTCTATCTCTATCTCCATCTCCCTCGCACTCCCTTTACCTGAGTAACGGGTATCTGATAGTCGGGGCACCCGACTATAACGTTCTCTCTTGTTGGATTTGTTATTGTTTTTATTTTACTTGAAATGTTCTTTAATTTTAGATTTAAATTGAAATACGCTCCTAATCGTTTTATAATTATGTGGTAAATGTTATATTATATTCTAGAAATACTTTTAAAAATATTGGCAAAGAGTATTCCCTATAAACTATTATCATCAACAGTTTCTTATCATTTTTTGCAAGTGTTAACTGTCAAATTATTTAAAATTTCTCTGATGTTACTAGTGAAATATTCCGTATCCCGAAAATTGTGCAGTGTCTTGCTGTTTCTCATACTGCTTCTGCCGTCCTATGACGCTGGTTATCCGATCGGAAGTCACTTTATCCGCCGGCGGGCTAAACGCCTATCAAGTCCCTATTTCGACGAGCAGAAAACCCTGATACTGGCAAAATATGTGGTCTCAATTCGATCTCGAACGCCTCGAAAATTCTTTGGGGACAATCACTTTTGCGGTGGTGTCATCATTTCGAGAACCTACATCATGACCTCCGCCCACTGCGCCATGGAGTAGGTATAGAAAAGTGTTATATTACTGTGTATCCCCTTTACTTTTAACCAATCCATCAGCAAACGAAAGATCATACATCGCAGTCGGGTCTTGCTCATTGTGGCTGGAACCGTAAATCGTTTGAAATACCGGTCGGGTCTTACGGTGCACATTCCAGTGAAGAAGATCTTCGTACCCGAGGAATTCACAGTCCACAACACGAACAACCTTGCGCTGATGATGCTGGCCAAGAAACTGCCCTTGGACAATCCGCGTGTGGGTGTGATCAATCTGCCCACGGCTGACCCGGAACCGGGTGTCAATTACACGGTTCTGGGCTGGGGACGGGTCTTTAAAGTGAGTTGCTTTTTTGAAATATTTCAAGAGCGAAGAGCCAACTCAACTGTTTCTAGGGCGGTCCCATGGCCTCCAACATCCTGCACATTGACGTGGAGCTGTTGCCCCGGGAGATCTGTGAGAAGAAGCTTCACACCTTCAAGCAGGAGATGATGTGTGCCGGAAACCTCAACAACAGCCTGGACGAGAACCCGTGTGCCGGTGACACCGGAAGTCCCCTGATCCTGAACAACACTGTCTTTGGGGTGGTGACCTATCGGATAGGGTGTGGATCCAGAAGCCTACCCTCGGTGTACACCAACGTCTTCGTCCATTTGAACTGGATCAAGGAGATTATGGCCAAGAATCAAGGAAATCGCATGGAATACACACTCCATTTTCTAATAACCACCATTGGCATACTCGTGGTAAATAAAATTCTGAAAAGTTGTGGACTTTATTAGATCACCATTTAAACGAGGAGACCTCCCTTGGCGGTGGAAATCGGCGACCTCACAGGCATAGGACCAGCCAGCCTTGATGTCGGTGGTCTTCCAGTTGATATAGGTCACCTGATCGCTGATGTCCGTGCAGATGATGTAGTCCCGCTTGATCTGTTCCTCTCATCAAGTACCTTGTTAATTGAATCTGCAATATTTTGACCCGAATGATTGGTGTCATTAATCAATGGGCAAGTGGATAAAACCGCTGATCTTAGCTGGTCCTTTAATATAAAATGGCAAGTAACGGTTAAATAATTAACATTGGCCCTTGATGTCCAACCGTCTGACGTTAATGAGCAGTAATTTACACATTTGAGAAGATTTTGAAGACGTTCCTTGCATTTTTCGTATGACGTCATTAGACACACATTTTGCAAGGCGGTTCTGCTAGGCAATTTGTATTTCGGGTCCAAAATGCTCACCAATTTTTTAAATCCGGTTTCTTCTACAATCCGAAAAGGTTGCATGTCTGATACAATTAAGTTCATCACAGCGTTGTCAATTTCAATCTTCCGGGGAGAGTCCTGCTCATAGTGCGAGGGTGTAGTACTCTCGCTTATTTCCGGCTCAAGCAAAGACTGATCTTCGCAGTAAGCATGCTTCCTTCTGAGATGATCCCTTAGGTTTGAGGTGTTGTTGCTGGTCTTATATTGCTTGTTGCACAAAAGACATTTTGCGGTCGTCTTGTCGATTTTTTGGAACCTCTTCCATACATCGGAAGCTCTCGGTTTCCCTTTTTCTTGAGAGTCTACTCGTAACCAAATTAATAGATTATGCTGATTAAATAATTTAGTTATACTTACCATTTTCTTTGGAAACAGCTAAAAACTTCTCCATTTTAAATGAAAATAATTTCAAAAGATTCTTTTGATTTTATAAAGAAATATTAGAGTTAAACAAAAGAAATGAGCTACATACGGTACTTGATTAAAAAAAAAGTCGATAGTAGTCGACTGAAAATCGACTGAACAATCGCAAAGCATACTATCGACTTGTAGTCGACTTCAGTCGATCTTTTGTCAGCTCTACTATATAGAGGATAGAAAAAACAAGAAAGCTTCCTATATATACCCTTGCAGATCATTCATCATTAAATTACAAATTGTTAAACTTCGTATTATTTTGACACTACTTTTTCTTTTCTTCCTATGGCGGATATTAAATATTGTCGACCGATTGTTGTTAAATTTAATTCGAAATTCTAAAATATTAAAAAAGAGTCATATCCCAGAGTAGAAGAGAATTCAATAAAAACCAACGGAGCTATAATTTCTTTTCAATTAATTTTCCGATCGTTCCTATGGCAGCTATATGATAAAGTAGTTGGACTTTTATAAAATTAAATTTGAAATTCAGAAATATATAAAAAATAATATTCCTTAGAGAAGAAGTTAAAATGTCAAAAAATACCGAAGCTATAATTTTTGTTCGATTATTTTTCCGGATATGGGAGCTTTAGTTTTCCGATTCGCCTAGTTCCGACTTATATACTACCTGCAATAAAAAGAAGACTTTTGGGAAAGTTTTAACTGACAGACAGACAGACAGACAAACGGACAGACGGACATGGCTAGATGGACTCGTCTAATGATGCTGATCAAGAATATATATATACTTTATGGGGTCGGAAACGTCTCCTTCACTGTGTTGCAAACTTCTGATTGAAATCACAATACCCTCTGCAAGGATATAATAATGTCAAAATAAAAGGAAATTTAACATTTGTAATTTAATAGGAATGATTTGCAAGGGTATATAAGCTTCGGCTGCCCTTCGGCTAGCTTCCTTTATATTTTTAATTTATCAGCTAATAAATAAAATATTTAAGTCTTTATGTGTCTTGATTTTCTACTATATAACTTAATTAGATAAAATCATGCAGATCATTTAATAAACTTACCATCCGCACGAGGCTCCACAGCGACCCTTTCGAAGGTCCCGTCCTCCTGGACAATTGGAGGAAGCTTCTCCTCCGGATAGGGAATTCGAGCCCAGGCAACCAGAAGGCCAATTAACAGCAATGAGAATCGGCCCCAATATATTTCACTTTAAACAACCCAAGGGCAACAGAGGCTTCTTTAAATAGTGCCCGGCCATATCCACACATTAATGAAAAATAGTTAGTACCAACAAAATCACGCAATTCTAAACCCTATCTCTTTCAGAAAAATAAAACAAATTTTGGTCTTATCGATTTTCGATAAGTGGCAAAGTGAGCTGATCTTTTTTCGTCTTACGTAGACCCGTTCATTTGATCTTAATTGGTATGAGGTACTTAGTGTCGATTATTTTGTTGAAGAGTGGGGAATTAACACAAACAATACGGTTAATTTGTATTTACAACAAGAGAGAACGCTATAGTCGGGTACCCCGACTATCAGATACCCGTTACTCAGGTAAAGGGAGTTCGAGGGAGATGAAGATAGAAACTTTGATCACGCATAACTTTTTAACGAATGGTCCGATTTGAAAAATTTCTTAAAACTGCATTTTTACTTTTCCGAAATATAAGCGATTGTGGGCGTTAGAGGGGGCGTGGCACCCTTGCTCTGCGTAGGAACTCCAAGAATCTTCATGCCAAATACCAATCCTCTAGCTTTTGTAATTTCCGAGCGTTCATACGGACAGACAGACGGACAAACGGACATGGCTATATCGACTCGGCTACTGACCCTGATCAAGAATATATATACTTTATATTCCCTCTTACATACTTTTGCACGAATACAATATACCCTTTTACGCTACGAGTAACGGGTATAAAAACAGAATGTGTGTTTTTGCACGTTTCATCCAGGGTTTTATCATAGTCGTACTTTAAGTATTACATTTCATATCTTAATTGTAATTTTGTCAATTAGTGCCTACTTTATAAAATATTTTCTTTCTAAGAAATGTCCAAAAAAATAAATTATATTTATATCCGCTTAATTTTTTACCCTTACAGAGGGTATTATAATTTCAGTCACATATTGTAACGCAGTGAAGGAGACGTTTCCAACCACATAAAGTATATATATTCTTGATCAGCACCAATAGCCGAGTCCACCAAGCCATGTCTGTCTGTCCGTCTGTCCGTCTGTCCGTCTGTCCGTCTGTCCGTTTATATGCGAACTAGTCTCTCAGTTTTAAAGCTATCGCGAGGAAACTTTCCCAAAAGTCTTCTTTCTATTGCAGGTAGTGCATATGTCGGAGCGAGCCGGATCGGACCACTATATCTTAAGGCTCCCATACGAATAATTATTGATTATAATCAATCAAATATAAGAAAATTCATTGTAACTTTGCAGGAAGTAGGCGTTTTGATTATTGACAACTTAAAAAGGTATTTTTCTTATCTGCAAGGGTATATAAGCTTCGGCTGGCCGAAGCTAACTTCCTTTCTTGTTAAAAGTAAAATTCTTTTCAAATAAACTGATAATTACGTTTACCATCTAAACCAGCAGTTGATCAGAAGCGGAGACAGTCAGCCGTCTAATTTTTTCCCTATGAGAGCCTAGGCAACTTGGCAATAGCTTATAATCAACAAGTAATTAAGTCATCTGACCGCAGCAGGATTCAAATTTATCGAGGATATTGGAACTAAACCGATTGAATAGCAATGCTGGCCAACTCTATGTCCATTTGAACTGGATCAAGGAGAATATGGCCAAAAACCAAGGGAATCACATGAAATACACACTCTATTATCTAACAACCATACTCGTGGTAAATAAAATTCTGAAAAGTTGTGGGTTTTATTAGGTCACCATTTAAACGAGGAGACCTCCCCTGGCGGTCAAGGCGGGAATATGCTTGACGGTCTTCCGGAAATCGGCGACCGAACAGGCGTAGGACCAGCCAGCCTTGATGTCGGTGGTCTTCCAGTTGATATAGGTCACCTGATCGCTGACATCCGTGCATATGATGTAGTCCCGCTTGATTTGTTCCTCGCTGAGATGGGGATTGTTGACGCCCAAAAAGACAATACCCCTGCGGGAAGAGGGATCAATGACCACGCGGAAGAACAACTTGGGCACAGGGATCAAGCCATTGTTTTTGTCATCCTTGGCCAGATACAGTGGGGTCTCCACACCCTGCTTATTGGGCAGGGTGGTCACGCCGTAGACACCGGTGTAGCAGTTCACATTCAACTTGTTCTTGGACACCCAGACCCTCAGACCATCCTCGACACGCATCCAATTGCCGGCATTGAAGGTCTGCCACTGGGGAGCGGCATTGATGAACAGGAAGGTGGCCCTCTGCTCGGTACCGTAGTTGAAGTCGGCCTTGGCAGCCAGGTGACCACGGGCCAGGAAAACGTTGGTGGCACTGTCGAAGTACTGGGCAGCATCGCCGCCAAGATCCTTGTTGATCGTCTCCAGCTGTGTGACTTGGGTGTACAGCCTTTCCACATTCTTTTTATTGAAGTAGCCAGCCGTTTGGAAGGTCATCCTGCCCACACGTGTCTCGTAGTAATTGCTGCCCGGTTTCAACTTGTGGCGAGTGTAGCGAGTAACCTCCTCCTCTTCGTTGAAGCAAATCTTCATCTGCTCGGCAAACCTGGAGGAGGTGATCTCGAAGCCAACGCGGATCACAATGCCGCCGTTGCAGGTATCTCCCGACTTGACAGCCTTGAATCCCGGCCAGGACTTGCAGTACAGGTCCTTGAAATTAAAGTGGGATCCGTTCACGCTGAAGGTGGTGCCACTTACACAGCTAGCAGTGAGCAGGGTCTGGGAATGGGAGTTGAATCCGGAGGCACACCACAGCTGGAAGGAGCCACCCGTCTCGAACTCCATCACACCCACATCGGAGAAGGGATAGAAGTCCTCGGAGTCGGTTTTCAGGTACACGGGCTGCGGACTGGGAAGACCACCGCGAATGGTCACACTGCAGGCTGTGCAAAAGAATTTATTAATGGGAAATTCATTAACTTCAAGCTAAATATGTCAAGACAATTAAATTAACAAAAGATTTGGATTATATATCTTAACGATTCCGCCTCCGTAAAATACGATTTAGTTTAAATATGTTTTGAGCAGGGAATAAAACCAGAACCGGGACCGGAACCGATAACCGAAATAAACCGATTCCTAATAGAGAATTTAATTTGCGCTGTTGTTGCATGATGCAAAGTTGCTAAACTAAAATCGTTGTCTTTACTAGTAGGTCTTGCCAATACAAAAATTTTATTTTACCACTTCGTAAAGATTTGATGAAGCAATATAAGGATAATTTTTTTATTCGGAAACCGGCGTACAGAATTTTTTTAAATTTAAATTCTCTCAAAAAATACTTCCCACTGTCCCACAAAGTTGCATACCAAATATTAAAATAACTCAAACGAGTCTCAAGTGCTGCATAACTGAAAAATCGGAGCTAATATACAAAAATACTTTTTAAAAATAAACGGTAAGAGTTAAAAAACAAAAAAAAAACCGATCCTTATATTTCAATCCTCTATCGAAAAAAAAAGTTTCGATTGATTCTGAGATTTGACCCGAATTGGCCTTTCACGTTTCACGTGGTATGAGCCATAACTTAATTAGATAAGTTCATGCAGATCATTTAATCAACTTACCTCCTGCACGAGGCGCCACAGCGACCCGTTCGAAGATCCCATCCTCCTGGACAATTGGAGGAAGCTCCACCTCCGGATAGGGAACTCGAGCCCAGGCAGCAGGAGCCGCCAAAAGGCCAATTAACAGCAATGAGAATCGGACGCACTTCATTTCACTTTTAACAGCCGAAAGGCTACCGAGGCATCTTTAAATAGTCCCTGGCCATATCGCGCAAATTAATGAAAAATAATTTACCAACTGTAACGAACTGATTATTTAGGCCTGCGGCTAGCTCAGTATAGTTGTGTGTTCGTCCCACCAAATTTATATATACGTGACCGCCCAGTAGATCAGTGAGAAAGCACAGAATTCACGGGTTCTTAGTGGGTTTATTACGGGTGTAATAGTACAGTGATCTTAATATGGGCACTCGTGGCCTTCGACGATTCCCGGTCGCCTTGATGACTCGGTGCTCTCCTCGTTGACTGTACCTCCCTCGACGATCTTTGAAGCTCCCTGAAGATCCTTGAAGCTCCCTGAAGATGCTCGGCGCTGCTTGTCTCTGCTGCGTAGAATCGACCACTACTCGTAGCGCCTTAAACTCGCCAGGCCGCGATCTCCAGGAATATCTCCTTTCGATGCACCACCGCCTGCCCCTTGCTCTGTCCCGGATGGTCCTACTAGTGTTCCACTCAGATCGCGCTGGCAGTCCAAGTTACGCAGGGATACTGCCGAGCGCTTCACTTCGCTTCTACGCCTAGTGCAAACGAACGTTCCGCCCTAGCTTCACCCTTTGGCTTATCGTCCGTGACGTTTCCTCGTAGCTCGATCTGTCGTGGTGTGTGGCTGCGTGGTTGGACGTAGCGTGGCTTCTGGTACTCGGGGTCTTGGTCGTACGCCGATCCGGGACTACAGGACTTAAACCGCAGAGCTCTCCTGAAGTTCTTCACTCGAGACCACAGACGATTGACCGTTCTCCCTTCTGGCTGATAGGTTTCTCCCCAAGCTCACGATTTCTTGTCGCAGGCTTTCACCGCTCAAACTCTGTTCGACGCTCCAGGCTAGATGCGAGGATTAAGTTGAGACAGGAATGAAAACGGATCGCCTTGTCCTAGCCGTGTGACGCCCTCAGGACCTCAGCTACCAGTGTCTCAATTCGGAGATTCCTGGTGATCCAATCCCGAACGTCTCGACGCAGCGATCTTGCTCCTTGTAGGCTCCCACGGCGCTGCTTCCGGCGACTCGACTTGTTGTCGTTCACTTGTAGTTCACTGTACTGGCTGACTTGTTCATTTTGATTATCTTGACTGATCTTGATAGATTGACTCTTCGTGATCGACTGATCTAGTTGCCAGCACCCGGCGGCTTTATATAGGACCTCCGGGAACCGTTATTTCCCCTTTTGCGCTCTGCCCGCTGAATCTCTCCACCCCAGGTCCAAAGTCCCTGGCTCCTGTTTGAGCCCGTTGCTATTCTCGTACGGCTTCGAAATTGTAATCGATTACGATCGCTGTTTTTTGACAGTGAAGTAATCAGAGCTTCTAAGTCTTCGTATTTTTGTTCGTTAACGATTTCCTTTTGTCAAAAATCACAAACACACCTAACAATGATTGCCTATGGCCGAGAGGTTAGCCTTTCCATCTATTATACAATAATACCCATGTTCGATTCCTACATGAGGAAAGAATATTTTTTGTTTTCATAAATGAACAGCATTACAACTCAGCATAGGTTTTTCAAAATGTATGTTGAATTTTCTCTAGTCTGTCTACATTTTGTATTACAATTTTGGGAAAGTATATTAAATTCGTAATGGAGACCCGAAGGTGATTCGGCCCTAGCATACTTTTTCCATTACTAGTAATGCAAATTGTGTCCCGATCACATTAAAAGGCGGCCATGCCTATGGCAAAGTAATCCATGTTGTAATCCATTGTTTCCCTATTACTGGAGGAGAAGTAATGCATTCGTAATCCATTTTGTAATGGCAATTTTTGCCGCTGGGTAGTGTCGATTATTTTGTGGACGAGTAAGAAATTTAAGGGAATGTACACAAACAATACGATTAATTTGTGTCTACAAAAATAGAATGTGTTTTATCATAATCGTACTTCAGGTATTACATTTCATATCTTATCCGTAATTTTGTCAATTAGTACTTTTGGGATTTATTAAGATGTTATTATTTGATTAGCAGCTTGATATAATGCGAGTTGATGGAAGAGTGGAAATGGAATTATAACGATTGAATAGCAATGCTGGCCAGCTCTATGTTCATTTGAACTGGATCAAGGAGAATATGGCCAAGAACCAAGGGAATCACATGAAACACACACTCCATTATCTAATAAACACCATTGGCATACTCGTGGTAAATAAAATTCTGAAAAGTTGTGGATTTTATTAGATCACCAATTAAACGAGGAGACCTCCCTTGGCGGTCAAGGCGGGCAGATGCTTGACGGTCTTCAGGAAATCGGCGACCTCACAGGCGTAGGACCAGCCAGCCTTGATGTCGGTGGTCTTCCAGTTGATATAGGTCACCTGATCGCTGACATCCGTGCAGATGATGTAGTCCCGCTTGATTTGTTCCTCGCTGAGATGGGGATTGTTGACGCCCACAAAGACAATACCCTTGTGGGAGGAGGGATCGATGACCACGCGGAAGTACAGCTTGGGTACGGGGATCAGGCCATTGTTGTTGCCATCCTTGGCCAGATACAGTGGGGTCTCCACTCCCTGCTTATTGGGCAGGGTTGTCACGCCGTAGACACCGGTGTAGCAGTTCACATTCAACTTGTTCTTGGACACCCAGGCCCTCAGACCATCCTCGACGCGAGCCCAATTGCCGGCATTAAAGGTCTGCCACTGGGGAGCGGCATTGATGAACAGGAAGGTGGCCCTCTGCTCGGGGGCGTAGTCGAAGTCGGCCTTGGCACCCAGGTGACCACGGGCCAGGTAAACATTGGTGGCACTGTCGAAATACTGGGCCGCATCGCCGCCCAGATCATTGTTGATCGTCTCCAGCTGAGTGGCTTGGGTGTACAGTTTGTCCACATTCTTTCCATTGAAGTAGCCAGCCGTTTGGAAGGTTATCCTGGCCACTCCCGTCTCGTAGTAATTGCTGCCCGGTTCCAACTTGTGGCGAGTGTAGCGAGTGACTTCCTCCTCTTCGTTGAAGCAAATCTGCATCTGCTCGGCAAACCTGGAGGAAGTGATCTCGAAGCCAACGCGGATCACAATGCCGCCGTTGCAGGTGGCTCCCGACTTGACAGCCTTGAATCCCGGCCAGGATTTGCAATACAAGTCCTTGAAATCAAAGTGGGATCCGTCCACGCTGAAGGTGGTGCCACTCACACAGCTAGCGGTGAGCAGGGTCTGGGAATGGGAGTTGAATCCGGAGGCACACCACAGCTGCAGTGAGCCACCCGTCTCGAACTCCATCACACCCACATCGGAGAAGGGATAGAAGTCCTCGGAGTCGGTTTTCAGATACACGGGCTGCGGACTGGGAAGTCCTCCGCGAATGGTGACACTGCAGGCTATACAAAATGTATTTATTTATGGTCAATTTATTAATTTCACTCTAAATAATTCTAAAAAACTAAATGAGCAAAAGATTTTTTTTTTCCGCCTCAATAAAAGATTATTTAGATTAAATATTTTTAAAACAGCCCCAAATATTTGAGTAATCCCTTTTTTATAACTTAAGAAGCTACTTTAAATTACTTGTTTCCAATCTTCAGCAAAAAAAATAAAATGTTTAAGTTACAGAGTTAGTATGTCTTGATTTAGTAACAGATAACTTAATTAGATAAATTCATGCAAATCATTTAATCAACTTACCTCCTGCACGAGGCGCCACAGCGACCCGTTCGAAGATCCCATCCTCCTGGACAATTGGAGGAAGCTCCACCTCCGGATAGGGAACTCGAGCCCAGGCAGCAGGAGCCGCCAGAAGGCCAATCAACAGCAATGAGAATCGGACGCACTTCATTTCACTTTTAACAACCCAACGGCCTCCGCGGGATCTTTAAATAGTAGCCGGCCATATCGCGCAAATTAATGAAAAATAGGTAATGCCAACAAAATCTCGCCATTCTGGGCCCTATCTATTTCAGCACAATAAAATATTGGTCTTATCTATTTACGTGAAGTGGCAAAGTGTGCTGACTTATTTTTCGTCTTACGTATACCCATTCATTCGATCTTAATTGGTTCGAGGCACTAAGTGTCGATTATTTTGTGGACGAGTGGGGAATTTTAGGGAATTACCCAAACAATGCAGATAATTTGTCTCTACAAAAATAGAATGTGTTTTTACACGTTTCATCCAGGGGTTTATCATAGTCGCACTTCAGGTATTACATTTCATATCTTATCCGAAATTTTGTCAATAGGTATTTTTAGGATTTTTTTAAGATGTTATCACTTGCTGCGAGGTTTATTCGAATGCATATCTATAAAAGTTTGTATATAATATTTTTGTGAATTTATCCGCAAATCTTATATCTTAAGAGATTTATTCCTGTTTGCATTAAATTTATACAACATTATTTATACGGTTTGTTTTATTGATTGTTAATACTAAAAATGCAGTCCTAAATAATTATGACCAAAAGTATATATTTTCCTTACATCCGATTAATTTCGATAATAATGACATCTTCTCAAATCAACTGTCAATTACCATTGACCATCCAAACCAGTAGTTGATGAGCAACGTAGACAGCCTGCCGTCTAATTCAGTTATTTAATCAGCAGTCAGGCCGACTGGTTTTCCCAGGTTCTCCTTTCACTTAGCAATAATTTATAATCAACAAGTAATTAAGGCTTATGGCCGCAGCAGGATTCAAATTTCTTGTGGCGATTGGAATTTCCTAGGCTTTTCAAGGATATCGTGAAATTAGAACGTATGAATAGCAGTGCTGGGAGTGGAAGTGGGAGTCTGAGGGAAGAGCGCTCCCTAAAGAGCCAAAGAAAGTGCTCGTTAATCATTATGTGGCGCCATCTAGTGCCAGCCCCCGGCCCTCTGAGGTCATTTATCTATATCGAATCAATTAGCGAACACCTTGAAGCCTTCTTGGCTGAAAATGGGGAAAAGGCATGGCAACACCTTTCTCTTTTTCTCCCTTTGTTCGGATTTCCTTTCGTCCTTGCTACGTGCCAATTTGGCTCGTTTTGTTCGCTCATTCGTAAATCTAAACAAATCATCAATTTTCACAAATTATACGCGATACCCATCTCCAGTGGCCGGGGTTCTCCGTATCCGTCGAAGTTACCGTATCCGGCTGAGGTCCTTGTCCTTGTCCTTGGTCCTCGGCCCTAATTGCACGACTATCTCCGTTCGCTGCTCTTCCTGCTGTGCGCCGCTGTTCATTTTACATTCCATTAATTAATGTCAATGGCCGACGAACTTTGACATATTGAGCTCTGTTTTATATCCTTCTCGCTGTCTCCAACGGGGATTTGGTGGGTTAGCCTAATGGAGCATTCGAAGGAAGATAAGTATTTGCTTGATTGAAGTCGGTCGCAGTTACATTAAGAATATAGCTTTTCAATTTGGCCCATCGACATTGGGGTCATAAAATAAACAGTGGTGGTTTTAGAATTTGGTTGTGAGGGTTTTGAAAACAAATTTTTTGTTGCCTAATTTTTAACACAACATTTTAAGTACGATTTTAGCTTAGTGAGAGGGGGTTTAAAGGACTGTTTGAGATTTATTGCCGTTTCTTTAATTTACTCCAAATGTTGCCAAAAAATCCAGCATTAAGCAAAGAGGTTTTATAAGTAGAAGGGAAAAGATAAGATAAGATAATGATACAATATTAAGAAAATCAGCTTCTTTTATATTTTAATTATTTCAAATTTATTATTTAAGTATCCGATCTAGAATTTAATTGAGGTAAAAAAAATCTAAATAAATTAATTAAACAAAATCTCCTTAAAAAGTTTAGGTGGTTCTGAACTTAATTGGTAGGCAGACCAGAAGCTTTAGATAAAATTATATTGTTTATTTATTGTTCAATTAAACTGGTATTTTAATTTTTCGTTTATTTTTCCAAAAGCAAATAAAATCTCAATCTGAATCTCCTTAACTAATTAGGTGAAAATCGGTTTCTCAATCAAAAATACATTCCCCAGAGCCAGCCGATAGATTTATCTTCATCTCCTCATGTCATAAATTATCGCGGCAAATTTATGAGTTTCCAATCAATATTAATTGTCTGTGAGATACTTCACAGGCCATTTCATTAGCCACCTGACGCCGGGAGAAACCATTTAACTTAAATCGCTTTCACCGCACTCACGATTTCATCGCACGACAAACAAGCATAAAAATACTTAAATAAAAAAAAAAAACGAGAAAAAAGGAGGCACACAATTTAATCCGAATTTTACTTGATCTGGCGCATTGCATCGAGGAGCTTCGCACCATTCAAGGGTCCCAGCCCTTGATAAATGGCCCTTATTAATAACATACGTGTGGGCGTGTTCTGTATCTCCGTGGGTGTGTTCGAGTCCATATACTGAGATACCTTTGATTGATAAGGCTGCCTAAGCGTGTTTGCGTACGGGGAAAGGGCGAAAGGTAAACGAGGACGAGCTAACGAATGAATGAGCGATTTTGCACCTTTTCAACAGGTTTCTCGGCGCTCTTATGTTCGGGCAAATTGAAAACGGGGAGTCAATAAAGCTGTAGACAGTCAGACATGGCCAAGGGCTAGGCCGGGATCCTTTGAATGGATATATTTGCATTAGGGTGAGCTGAGTTCCATGGATTTTACAACATATTTTTATTCTAAATGTTTTTTATTACCTTTTTAATAGAAATTGTGCTTATGTAAAATAAAATAATTTGTACAGATGTTTGTTATGTCTATTTATTTCTCATAACAATAATTTAAAAGGATTAAAAAGTAATCTTAAAAAAGTATCTCTGAAACAAGAATGTTTAACAAAGTTGAAGTTTAATACTTAAAAGTGGTCCACCCTACAGTAGATTGAACATGCATGTCTGTGCAATGATGGATTAAATGTATTTCAAAGGCGTGAAAGCCAAAAGGTAGCACAAAGTAGCACATTGTGGTTGCATAATAAACATCAGGCATACTTCAATTTAGCTTAGCCTACGGCAACACAAATACAACAAGGAAATAATAGAGCCCAAAGGATGCAAAAACCCCCACGAAGGTAGCAATGGTTACAAAGGTTCTATAAATACACACACTAATTGTCAAAGGCCTTTGGTCTTTTGTACCCTATGCAAATCACTCACAACCCGCCGCAATCTTGTGCAGCCAAGTGAAAGATCTCCGATAATTGCAATGTCTTCAAAGGATAAGCCCTTCCACATGGAACGCAATCTACATGGAAAATAGGTCACAAGCCCAACATACAGATTTGCATTAATTTGAGCTCAATAAACCCGACAAGCAGCCATTTGGAGTAGCGGATGAAAGGGAAACTCTCTCAATCATAAACTTTTTCATCCCATATGGATTACATAAGTACAACATGGATGGGTTGAAAAAAACACTGTGAAGTATGAGCAAGTAATAAAAAATTAACTGACCAAGCGAACACACAGCGTAAAATTATAAAAGTAGTTGAACATGACAGGAGCACGTTCAAAAGCATGAGCGAAATGATTAATGATCTGCCGCCATCTAACGTCGGCCATTTACTCACAGCCAAGAATGGCTGTTGTGTGAAAGTGAAAAACTGCTGAAATACGACAAAAAGAAAATAACGTTTTAAAATTGAAATATAAAAACTTGATATCCTCTCCTGATTAATTTCGTATTAATAGTAACCTATTATAAAAACAGAGTGAAAATACAGATTAATTTTAGAAAAATTATATAATTATAATCTCTGCTGAAGTTTTTCTATTGGTATGCAAAGATATTGAAAAGATTTTTCATATTTTTCATATAAAACCACTTCTAGGTAGGCTGGCAGTTGACATATCTCGGATGTATGCACTAAATTCTGGAAGAAATTTAAAAATTCATGTTTCGGAAGACCTTTTTTAAAAAATTATCTTTCGTTTCACAAAATGCGGCACTTACAAATAGTTAAATATGTACAACCACGGTATGTAATAAATACAGTGTTGTCCCAGCGTTTCATGTCAAAGTCAGGCAATGCAAAATCTTCTGGTACAGATAAAACAGATAAGAAAGGTTAACGGTATACAATATTAATGTTCGAGTGTACTAAAGCTTACTTCCGAGCAGATACAAAATGTAAGGAGGGCAAAGATGCAAAACCGGCTAATGCAGCTAAGAAACCTGCTGATGCAGCAAAAAAATCTACAGATGCAGATAAAAAAGGTTAGATACGATATTAAAATTTCTGTAAAATGCAAGGATACTTCTCTACAGATGCAACGCCTAAGGCAGTTAAGGAGACTAAAGTCACGAAGCCAAAAGACGAAACACTTATATCCGGCGGGACAAAGTGCACGCCAACTATCAATCCACCAGCAATTAATAAAACTAAAAAGAAGCTAAGAACATGTGATGAAATTTTGCTTGGTAAAGGCAAACAAAAGAAAAAGAAACTTGATTTAACGACCATTCAAGGAGGAGACTTGGGCTGCCCGGGAAGAATTGAGAAAAAACCACGTTAGTATATTTCTAGAAATTTATTAATATTAAATTTAATGTTATTTTGTTTAGCAATTGTTGCCAAACACGCCAAGCAATGGCAGAAAATCTCGCTATTCGGAGTGCTGCCCTTGATAGCCATTCTTACTCTCTTGGTGTTCAGCACTCGGGTAGAAGAAGATCGCCTGGAATTTAAGAATTGGACCCACATGTACAAGCGATCAAAGCCGTATTGGTTCCGTGATGGAAACCGCACAGCTTTTCACAACAGCCACGTAAATGCCTTGCCTCCAGCCGGATACGAGGACGAAGTGGATGAGAGCGCCATTGGCCAGGATCCAGAGTCGGAGCAGGATAAAAAATCTCGCTTAAAGGAGTTTGACAAAGTTGTTAAAAACTGGCGCAAGCATTCGTCCAAAAGAGATGCTCAGCTTAAAAAGGAGGCTGCCGCTGCAGAAAAGGAGGCTAGAAGACAAGAAGCGCAGTAAAAACTAAATTAAATCACAAAAACTTAAGACCATAAAATAATTATTGGGCGAGAGGAGTTGGGGAAAAGGATAAAACATATTAATCAACCTAATAAAAATGTCCTGTCTAAGATCAATGTCTTATAGCGTCAATATATCATATTTAACTTAAGCTATAATTTTTTTTAAATTAGGAACTCGAATAATAAACTTTCGAACGGCAGGCAGCTTTAGGTTTAGCATTAACAATTCCTTTAAGTAAGTTTATTTGATATCAAAAGACTTAAAAACAGAAAAATCAATAAAAAATAATGTTTAGGAACTTATTTAGAAAAAATGTTTTTCTTTATCTAATTTTGCTGATTTTTTTCTGACCCAATTAACGGGGTGATCTAAAATTCAGTTACCCTCGTCTTAATTTTGTCCCTTTTCTTTTAAACTTTAATTGATTGGGGAAATGTCTTCGTTTTCGAAGTGGAAAATCTTTTCCTGTTCGTTTGTGCGGATGAATGATTACCCTAACCAAATGGGAAACGGAAAGGGGCGGTGGGTGAATGTTGATTTGTCCTTGGCATGTCTTGCCACTCGCCAAATCTGTGTGATAATCTGGTGTTGCAATCAGCGCTATACACCATGCCACAAATCGCAGCCACTTTTGTAGGGCCCTCCTTTCCGGCCTTTTCGCTTCCCTTTCCACATTTCGGCCATTTGTTTTTCCTGTTGTTTTTCTCCTAATGGTTTTCCTTTTTGCCAAGCTACGCTTCAATAACTTTTATCACTTTTAATTGGATTTTTCTTTATAGTCAACGCATGTCTTAGAAGACTAACACATGTTCAGATTGTAATTGTGTTAATGTCCTCAGGAGTGGGGGTATATGCGTGGGCATGTCCTTTTTTCGTATTTTTTGTTATTGTCCTGTGACATCGTGCTAATACCAGTTCCCTCTATCTTACACCCAAAAAAAACTCGATATGAATCGTAGGTCAATTTGACCTTTTTTAAGATCATTTTTAACTTGATATGGGGCCAGGTAAATGTGATATGTTCGAAATGTAAAAAATCTTATTTCTGACCAAAACGTACACTAGTGCGAGCGAGAAAACATGCTTGAAGTACGTCAGTTCGAATTTCGAATCAGTCTTTCTCCCTTCCACTCATGTCATTTTGCTCGCCATATTGATTCTTGCGCTCTTTTTCGAAGTTAGAGAATATCCGAGAGAGAGAATTCGGCAAAATGATATTATTTAATGTAAATTTATGAATATTTCAGGTAAAAACGATATGAGTAGGAATAACCAGAAAATTACCTGGACTTATCGATTTTACGGCGACGTGCTTTTTTTTGTGTGTATGCATGTGTGTATATATATACATATCTGCCCCATTTTTGATCAAATTTGCTTATTTTTTGCCGTCTTATCTTTCTCTCAATTTTCTTAATTGCTTCTTAATGCTTATGCCTTCGGGCCGAGTCTTGGCTCTTGAACTGATTTCATTCAGCTTATTTAAAGTTCGGATTATAAGCTTAAAAGAAGATTTTGCATGCACAATTAATCTGGAAAATAAACTTTATTGAGGGTGTGGAAGATTAGTAGAGTAGTTTTTGTTTCAGTAGCACGCTTGTGTGAATAAATATTGCCAGAAAATGATCTATCATATTTTAGTAGGAAACTAGTAACTGATTTAACAACTTTTAAGAATAGCATTGACTTAGTTTTAATTAAAAATTTAATTTTTGGAAGATTTTAACTTTTATTTTGGAAGATGTTTACTTGGATGATAACCAATAGTTAATGGCTTTTTACATACTTCACTATTATTTTAAGACGCTCACTGAAAAGTAAACTCATTATTAACTGTTAATAACAAATATTCTTTCATTTGGTGGTACACGAACAATAAAATAGCTAAAGCAAACTGGCAGAACGAAACCCACAGTGAAACTTTACAATTCCGTGGGCCCGAAGACACGGCCAACTTATGTGCTTATCCGAAAGCCAAACCAAGTCCTGAAAGTCGAGGCAACTTTTCCGTTCCGGTCGCCGTTGACACGTAATTGACTTTGTCCGCACTTCCAATAGGACAATTTGTGCGCCACTTGCTCGGACCAATTAAACGCCATCGATGACCAATTGCAGTTGTCGCGAAATTGCTCGGGAAGATTGCCCGACGTAATGACGGCAAATGGGAGGAGTGCACCCAAAGGATGTGCAGTGGAGTGTAATCAATGCATAATTTTAATGCAATTCTTGAATGCAATTACTGGCGAATGCCCTTTTTCGCTATAAAAGCCAGGGACAGCGCACCATTGACCGGCGACCGAAAAAGTACGTCGGGGAAAAGCGATAGGACAGCAACTCGTTAATATTCGGAGTGATGAAAGTTCAAGTTCTCCTTCTCCGCTGGCTCCCCCTGCTATTTTTCCTGCTTGTCAGTAGGGGGCCACGTGTCGCTGGCAGCTGGAGGAGCGAAAATTTCCGGGAGGATCCGGACTCGAAAACACGGTGGGGCAATCAGTTGCCGGATATGCTAGTCGCTTACTATCGCCACCACGGCGTTCACAGCCTGATGCTGGTCGTTTGTCACACGGACATTGGTGAATTAACCCTCTGCATGCAATGTGCTTCTCGGGCCAAATTTATGACCCGACAATGCACAGACAAAAATCCCTTTGGGGTTCCACAAATCCTTAGTGATTTATTAAATTTATTGTTTGTCACTAAAGGGAAGCAATTAAAATCCAATTAAAAAATAAATCGCATGGTTTTATTTTTTAAAATTTTTAAAATGATCCCTTTATTTTCTTTGACCTTATATATGTATGAGTCTATCAAACCCACAACGATTTGCATTTTTTACCTTATATAATATTTGAAAAATAGTAAACCATCTACGAAGGTTATAATTTCTCTCTGTATCACACTGTTTTTTCCCCTTCAGCGGATTCTCGCCTTTGGACGCTGTGGCAGCACTTCAACCTCAACGATTTCTATGTGCAGGTCAGTACGGCGACCTCGCTAAGGGACCTGCGACATGTCGATGTCCTGGATGAGCAGAAGGACGCACCACCGCCGAAGAGTTTCCACGCCAACAACTCCACCCATTGGGAGACGTCCTTTCTGCTCCCCATGTTGCCCTATAAAATGGGAATCCTTCTGCTGGAATTCAGCAGCGAGTGCGCATTAAATCTACTTCGCTGGTCGGCTGCGTCGGAGCATAATTACTTCACCACCAATCGGTTTTGGTTGCTCCTTACCGAAGATCAAGCCGAAATCGATTTACTGGAGGATCCCGAAATATTCATTCCGCCGGACAGTGAATTGAGGGTGCTGCACTATGAAAACGACGGCAACTTCTCGTCCAGCTTGATCGATCTGTACAAAGTGGCTGCTTGGAAACCTTTAAAGAAAAGATTGGTGGGACATAACATCCGGAATGCGAGGCACATAGTTCACGCCCTGCAGCACTTTGGATCGGCCATAACCTATAGGCAAAATCTCGAAGGGATAGTCTTCAACTCGGCCATAGTTATTGCCTTCCCAGATCTATTTACAACTATCGAAGATTTGTCGCTCAGACATATTGATACTATATCAAAGGTTAACCATCGCTTGATGCTAGAACTGGCCAATCGCTTGAACATGAGGTAAGATGAGAATAATTCTTCTTTGCTCTTACATTTAGATGACAAATTAGAAGATGTATTTTCTTAAATTTAAAGGATCACTTTCTCTATTTATTTCGTTATTTTGCAGACTTCTTTTGTTTTTTGTTTTCCTTTTGGGGAAACGTAATTTTAGTCCTAATCCTTGATTAGAAATAGTGGAATACTGTTGTGATTAAGCCTCTCCTGAAAAAAAGATCTGGTTAATAGCACTTTAAATCTGGCTTAACCCTTTTAGATCTAAACTTTATGGGTGTCTTGTTTCTGTAATCTTTACGCCCAGCTGTATGCAATTATAATTTAGCAACGTATATCAAAGTCAACAACGAAAAAAAGCTTTTAGCTGGGTGCAGAACATCTTATTCAGGCTCCAATCAGCTGAGAAAGACTACACCACACCCAGTTTTGTTTACTTCAGAACACGCCGGTTTGGCGTGCCACGCGTTCTTAATTTTATCCGCTTTATCAAAAGTTAATTATTCAAAATTAGTCCGACAGACCAGAAGAAAAAACTCTTTAGCCAATCCTAAGTTACTACGGTCCTACATATTTCGGTGGACTCCACAGCTGATTTTACGTTTTCAGGTGTTTCAATTCCGCGTAGTTTCCGTGAGTTCCCAGCCCTGAATTTGACATCTTTTCAATCTTTAATCTGATCCGTCTTAATTTATATTCAAGTTACACAGTGCTTTTTAGGCGAGCAGGAACAATAATTTTCTGATCTGCTCGAGATTAACAGTAACTTAAGCCAAAACAAAAAAGTTCCTCAGTGAATCTTTCTAGCGAATAGTTTAAAAATGGGGAATCCCACTAATATCTTGGATTTGCCATTGGAGATATTGGATCTAATTTTCAATAAGCTTAGCTTTGGAAATAAGTTAAAACTAGGCCAAGCTGATAACATTTTGGGAGAGGCATTTGTCTATCACCATAGAAACGAATATAAGAAGATTTCCTCTCGGATCTTACCACTTGAGAATTGGTCAGACTTCCTGTCGATTTGTGGACCTATTGTTGAGGAAGTCGACGTTGATGGCCTAGAGATTCAATACTTCAAATTAATCGAGCAACATTGCTGCAATCTTAAAATCATAAGCAAGCTCTATATGAAAGATTTCAAATGCTCTGCGACCAGAAGTTTGTTCCGCGGTGCTAAAAGTCTTACGTCTCTGGAAACAAAGATAACTAGTGATACCACCGCAAAAGTAATTCACGTTCTGCAAGAAGCTACAAATTTCAAAATATTAAATATAACATATTTCGGGGAAGGCCAAGGTAAGTTCGATATTGGTAAATAGATTCTTGAAAGTAGTAATGTATTCTTTTAGATGATAGTTCATCGGGAGTTACACAAAGAGCATCGAGCTTAGACCTGGGTATGTTCTCTTCTACAGACCTTAATTATCTAATAATATAAATATTTTATCTCTCTTTTTAGCTAAGATACACAAATTGGTCCATTTAGAAGAGTTGACCATAAGTTCGGATCCTTTCGAGGGGTCTTTTAACATTATGCATCTCCCATCCCAGTTAAAGATGCTTCGTTTCTTAACATTTAGTAATATAAAAGTTAACTCATTAATTGAGGAAGTGGATTTGACTTGTCCCGCCTTAGAAGAGCTTAATATTTATAGTTCACAAATTGAATTTCAGTTGCCATTTTGTCCAAAGCTTCGTTCTCTGAAAATAATAACCTCCAAATATTCTTCGAATAACCTGAAATGGTTGTCAAAACACATAGTAAATTTGGAAACGCTTCAAGCTGATAGTAAAATATTCCAAAAAAATATTTTGCTTAGTATATTTTCATCAAAAAACTTTAAAGAATGGGAGTTTCCCAAAATGGAACAATTAACTATTAACGCCTCCGAAATTAAGTTTCCCCTACCATTTTGTCCAAGACTGAAATCATTGAAGCTGTCCTCGACTAGCTTTTTCTCAATGAACTTTTTCTTTAAATGGATTTCTAAGCATGAAAGTACATTAGAAGAATTAGAAATAACCTTCGAGTTATTTAAGGCAAATTGTCGTTTGACTAAACTTTCAAATATTCAATCTCAAAAATGGACACTACCTTCGTTGAAAAAACTCCAAATTTCCCATCACCTAATTTCTTACGATTTACCATATTGTCCAAATCTTCAAAATTTAAACCTTGAGTATGCTTCATGTCAATCAATGGATTATTTTTACACGTGGATTGGTAAACACACAAACAGTTTGGAATGCCTTCAATTAACAGAAAATCTATTTGAAGAAACGAAATTTTTAGAAATTCTCCCAAGATGTCAAAAAATTACAAAATTTTACATTTCAACCTTTCCAAAAAAAATTTCATTTGGATTTCTCAAATCATTCATTAACATACTAAAAAACAATGGATTTTCCTCAATTAATCCATTTGAAATTAGAGTTCCGTCAAATGAATTTCAGCATATAAAACGTATTGTAAGTGTTTTGTTAATACTATTTTTCATTATTGAAAGTTTTGTTTCCAGCTAGCTGTATTACCAAATTGCGATCTTTGTAAATGCCTTGAAAGACGCAATCATTTTGATGATTTACCTATGGATTTTTTTGATACTGAGGACATGACCGACAGGATTCAACTTATACTTAATAACATTTAATAAACAGAAATTCATCAAATTGTATCTCTTGTTTGGTTAATCTCATATTGTAAGATGCGGATATAGAGTAAAATATTATATCAAACTTAACTACTTTCTGTATTTCTATATAAACTATAAGTATTATATAAAAAGTAGCTCCTAACTCTTTAATGCACGCTTCGATTAAAATATTTTTGATGGGAAATTATCCATTTCAGCTATAATACTTATCAAACCGTCAACTATGGATGGAAACAACCAAATGGATCCTTCGATGGGCTGATGGGACGGTTTCAGCGCTATGAACTTGACTTGGCTCAGCTGGCGATCTTCATGAGGCTGGATCGTATTGCTTTAGTTGATTTTGTGGCCGAGACTTATCGAGTGAGAGCTGGGATTATGTTCAGGCAACCCCCGCTTTCGGCAGTTGCCAATATATTTGCAATGCCCTTTGAGAACGACGTGTGGGTTTCGATATTAATGCTCCTGATCATAACGACTGTGGTTTTGGTTCTAGAACTGCTCTTTTCCCCCCACACCCACGATATGGCCTACATGGATACCCTGAATTTTGTTTGGGGGGCTATGTGTCAGCAGGGTTTCTACGTGGAGGTGCGGAACCGATCGGCAAGAATCATTGTCTTTACCACTTTTGTTGCAGCTCTTTTTTTGTTCACCTCATTCTCGGCAAATATTGTTGCTCTACTCCAGAGTCCCTCGGATGCCATCCAGTCTTTGTCTGATCTTGGACAATCTCCCCTAGAAATTGGTGTTCAGGACACCCAATATAATAAAATATACTTCACAGAGTCTACAGATCCTGTTACGAAGAATCTATACCATAAGAAGATCGCCTCAAAGGGAGATAATGTCTACATTCGACCGATTTTAGGAATGGAAAAAATGCGCACGGGTTTGTTCGCTTACCAGGTGGAACTCCAGGCAGGTTACCAAATCGTCAGCGACACCTTCAGTGAGCCCGAAAAGTGTGGATTAATGGAGCTTGAGCCATTCCAACTGCCCATGCTGGCTATTCCAACGAGAAAGAACTTCCCTTACAAGGAACTCTTTAGAAGACAGTAAGTAGCCTTCGGGTTTCGATATTCTACTGGAGTGTAAAATAAATATCTCGCAGCTGAATTCGTTTATAATAGAGCCCTGCGGGAATCATTCAATTTTTGTTTTATCATAGGATGCCATGAAATTTCTGATTTGTTTAATTCAATTCTATGTGAAATAAATTGAGTGTTTTTCGAATTCATTTCGAATTGAATAAATGATTAAATAATTTTTATGAATTTTTTGAATTTGCCAGATTTTTTTGTGCTTTTTTTTGAGAACAAAAAGGAGATAATTTTTAAGAAATCAATGTTAACTGTTTGGAAAATAAAATTCATGCAGATTTAATCACAAAATTATGGCCCTTTCTTTTTCAAAAGAAATTGTCGTTTGAATTATTTCGGAATTCATGCCATTCATTCATTCAATTCTATTAAACTCAAAATTCAAATTCATTCAATTCTATTAAACTCCAAATTCTAATTAATTCATTCATGTAAAACAAAAAAATCAAAATAATCCATTGAATTCATTCATGCAGGGCTCTAGTTTATAATAGAGTTGTAATTTAAAAAAAGATATATGGGACATCTCGGGTAGAAACTTAAAAGTAAATTTTATAAATATATTCAAATTTAAAAATTCTTTAATTTTTTCCTTTAGATTACGCTGGCAGCGAGAAGTGAGCCTGGTAAATCGCGAGGAACGAAAGTGGATTCCCCAGAAGCCCAAGTGCGAGGGTGGTGTGGGTGGCTTTGTTTCCATAGGCATCACCGAGTGCCGATATGCTTTGGGGATTTTTGGCTGTGGAGCTGCCGCCAGTTTTGGCCTATTCCTCTTCGAGTTCATCTTCAAGCACTTTAAACAAGTTTATCGCATATTTAAGGGATACCGAGAGATGCAGCCCTAGGCTCCACACATTTAATCCACAAAATAGACTTAAAGCTTAGATGGGTATGGATAGCTCCCGCACAACGGCGCGAAGTACTTCCGGAGTTTTGAACTGCCAGTTCTGGATGTTCTTGCTGACGCGACACCAGGATTCGCCGTGCGTGGGTTCTGCGGAAATGCAACGATCAAGGACCTCCTGTTGCTGTGACTCCGTGCCGTGTAGCACTTCGAACTTGTAGAAATAGGCCCAGGCATCACCCAAATCGGGATCGATCTTGACCTGAAGGAAATAAATGGTTAGCTCGAAATATTTGTACATTTATCTTCATAACTCACCGTTCGATTGAACCAATCCCGGCACTTGGAGAACTTGTGTTCCGACCAGAAAAGTTTTGAAACTGCCAGCAGTACATGCGGGTCATGCTCGCATTTCTTGAGCGCATCCACTGATTTTGTCTTTCGCTGAGGCTTAGTTTCCATGAAAATGGCCTCAGCCCATAGCTCTCCGGCATTGGGACATTCTTGCAATGCTCTAGCCATCATGGTGCTGGCAATCTCCTTCAGACCCGCGCGCAATTCCACCCTGATGGCCTCCAGCCAGAGAACAGCCACCTTGGGATTCCGCAATCGACCACGTTCTAAAATCGAGCGGGCCTTTGTCAGCACTCCTTTACGCTCTTCCAGATTGGCAGATAGAATCCAAAGGGCGATGGATGTGGGACATTTCTTCAGGCCCTGCGTGTAGGTGGCAGCTGCATCATCCGTTCGTCTTTGTTGCTCCTCTATTTGACCTTTCATCATCCAGAGCTTTGGAAAATCGGGGAACACTTCCACTGCTTCTTCCAGCAGCCGCAGGGCTTCATCGAATCGCTCCAAGGCCCATTCCAGGCGAGCTGATTTCATCATCACTCTGGGCGTTGGTGCCGAGCCTCTGGCCTTGGCCAACAATCGCCTCGCACGTTCATATTCCGAGTTCTCCGATTCCAACTTGACGGCCGCCAGCCAAATGTCTTCGGAATTGGGATTGGCTTGGAAGGCCAGGGAGAGAATGCCTCTCGCCGCCGGAACGTCGCCAGCCATCCACTTGGATTTGGCACCCATCAGCCAGAGAATCTCCGATTTGGGGCAGTGGGCCACGGCTCGCTGCAACAAAGCCTCCAGCGATTCGCGAGTGCCATGGTTTTTCTCAAAGTAAGCGGCTCGCAGCCAGATGCTCTTCTTGGAGGGGAAAATCTGCAGGGCATGAGCGTAGACAGCTCGGGCGCACTCAAAAGCATTTTCCTTGGCGCACTGAAAGATGGGGTGAAAGATATTCGATATAGTACTCATTGCATATTTGCATATTTTTATAGGATAAAGATAGATCAATTCCGAAAACACCAAAGTTCGTTTCAATAAAAATATAGTTTTAAATTAATGGCATATTTTATTTTTTTTTTGCATATTTGCATAAAATGCATATGCATAAAATATGCAAAATATAAAATAAACTCAACTATTCAAGATTGACCCTTTCATAGCCAACATAATTTACCCAAAGAAAAATGTTTGTTCCTTTTCGTCATTTCTAAGATATCTAATTTTTTCCCAAATTTAAGGAAACCCTATTTATATTTCCAACGAGTGGGCGAGAAGGGAGCAAAAATAGTTAAAGGGGCGGAATAGTTTTAACCCTATCGGCCAAACTGCTCGTTTAAATTGCTCGCCGTGTTTACTAAAGGTTCCTTAGAATACCATATATTTTACATATTTTATGCATATATTTTGCATATTTCCGATTTGCATCCGAATTTATTACACTTGAAAAATATGAGACCTTTCTAGAAATTTTGGTAAAAATCGGACCAAAAATGGACAAATATGCAAAAATACCAAAACTATCTTATTTTAATACTTACAAAGTCGGCATCATCGATCCAGGTCTGCTTGCGATCCTCCTCCTCCACACTTATTCCAATGACAGCCTTCACAATTGATTGGCAACAGTTGACGGCGCCCGATTTCTCCGCCTCGATGGCCTCCTGGAACCAGTGATCCCGGTTGATCTCCACCCCGTTGACGGTCAGCGAGGTCAGCGATCGATCGATGATCTTCTCAACCATGTGAATGTTACCATTGGCCTCCTCCAGCTTAGCAGCCGTGGTCCAAATCTGCCGGTCCGTGGGTATATTCTCACGAGCCTTGTTCAGCACCTTGCGGGCATTCTCATAGGTTTCCAAGCGGGCGAGGGCCAGCCAAAGTTCAACGCTGGTGTTGCAACATTCTACGGCACGGGAGAGTAGAATTCGCGCATCGTCGGGATTCTCCAGCTCCACGGCAGCTTTCCACAGGCGAACGGAGTTCGGAATGTGTTCCAGAGCTTTCCGGAAAACCCTACGCTTTGCCTTCGTCTCCGTTTCCAGGTCCGCGGCTTTAATCCAAATCCTAACTGAGGTCGGAATATGACGAGCAGCTTGCGCGATCACCGCTTTGGCTGTATCAGGCGGCTGCAGACGCGCTGCCTCCAGCCAGAGATCCTCGGACTGGATGTTCATTTCGCAACCCCTCATGATCAGATTCCTGGCCATTTGCACCTTGCCAGTGACCTCCTCCAAGCGAGCAGAGGCAATCCAGGCGGGTGGATGATTGGGATTCGTCTCCCTCACGCTCTTCAGCAGCAGGCGAGCCTTCTTGATGTCGTTTATGTCGCCGCCATAGGTGGGAATCATGCTCTGCAGGTCGGTGAGATAGCCCTTGGGATCGACCACCGTTTGGCCAGTCACGGAATCAGAAACCTGCGACAGCTTGACGTTCATAAGGGTGTTGCGGGCCTGCCCGATCTTTCGCAGATCCAGATCTCCCGTAGGGGTGAGCATGCCCGGCGTGGCCACGCCAGGCACCATGGAGGCCAAGCCAGAGGACGGATCCAAGGTGGAGGACGACTCGCCGCCCAGGTTCCTGGAAATCAAGCTATCCGGCAGTGGGGTAAACTTTTCGGCCCTCGGATTCCTTTGCTTTCTGTTGCGACTATCGCCCACCTCCGGGATCGTGGACCATTCCTCCGAGGTGACGCTGGCCAGCGAGCGTTTGAGGTCACTGAACTGCTGCTGGATCTTCGGTCTCTCCTGGCGATAGCGCTCCAGATCCTCCCGCAGCCTCCGATCACGATACTCCTTGCGCTTCTCGTCCATTCGCTTGTCTATCGAATCGTAGATGGCGTCCGCCTCCTCGTCGTCCTTGTCGTACGGATCCTTCGAGAACAGGGAGCCGCTGTAACCACTAAACTCGTCATAGTTTGAGTCGTTCAAGTCTTCGTCCTCCTCCTCCTCTTCGTCTTTTTTCTTACGTTTGGTGGCCGGCGGCGCGTGGCGATCGTCGGACACGTCGTTGGCATCGCGGGCGGGGCCAATATCGGAACGGGTGGTGAATCCCGTGGCTCTGAAATGGGAAATATACCATTAAAAATAAGTTTTCTTCTTATATGAAGATGCATTCAATGGCACTCACCCTCGACCAACGCCGGCCACATAGCCCAAAGGAGCTGGAACGCCCAGGAAGTGCTTCTTGTTGCGGTTGGCTATAACCGCTGCCGTAATGTTGGACATGTTGAATTAATTCTACACTGATTTTAACTACTTTATTTAATTAATTTCAAAAACAAATGAAAGTTTATCAATGAAATGCTTGGTAGGAAAATAGAGATGAAAATAATCGATGGTATTATCGATAACATCGATGGTTGGACCGGTCACGGGTATTAAAAAGAGTGACTGCACACAGTGACTCGATTGCCCATCTCTAGTTCGCACCGGTTATCGATGCAGATACTTGCAAAAAATAATTAATTTACAAATAAACAAGACGGAATTGGTGATTTACTCCTTGATTTAAGCAGCAAACTAAAGCAGGATGCCCGTGCTGCCGATGCCACCACTCATGGTAAGTAGCCACCAAAATCTAAGGCAATATAATCACTGAAAACTGCGTATTTCCCGAACAAAAGAACGCCGTGGAGCCGATGCAAGTGGATGCGCCGCCGAACGAGGACAATGAGAACAACGAGGAGCAGCAGATTGTGGTGGAGAATCCCAGCATTGATCTCGAGGTGTATGCCAACCAGTATGCCGGGATCGTGCGGCTGCATCGCTTGATTTACGTGGCCGACGTCTGCCCGATTCTGGCGGTGGAGGCGCTGAAAATGGCCATCACCTATGTGCAGACCACCTACAACGTCAATCTCTACCAGCTGCTGCACAAGCGTCTGAGCGATCTGAATGCGGGGAATGCCCCAGTTCCGCCGGCCAATGCTGGTGGAGATCAGGGAGCTGCCCCGGCAGCGGCACCTCTTCCGGATATCGCCGCCCAGCCGGTGGCAGCCCAGGCGCAGGGACAGCAGGCTCAGCCCGCTGGCGAGAAGGATGCCTTCGCCTACGATGCCGGTTGGGTGGACACCAAGATGAAGAAGGCCGCCCTGAAGCTGGAGAAACTGGACTCCGATCTGAAGAACTACAAGTCGAATTCGATCAAGGAGAGCATTCGCCGGGGCCACGATGACCTGGCCGATCATTATCTCAGCTGTGGCGACCTCACCAATGCCCTGAAGTGCTATTCCCGGGCCAGGGATTACTGCACCAGCGGCAAGCATGTGGTCAACATGTGCCTGAATGTGATCAAGGTTTCGATTTACCTGCAGAACTGGGCCCATGTCATGAGCTACATTTCCAAGGCGGAGAGCACTCCGGACTTTGCCGAGGGCTCCAAGGAGGCCAATGCCCAGGTGCATACCCGCCTGGAATGCGCTGCTGGGCTGGCGGAACTGCAGCAGAAGAAGTACAAGGTGGCCGCCAAGCATTTTCTCAATGCCAACTTCGATCACTGCGACTTTCCCGAGATGATCTCGACCAGCAATGTGGCAGTTTATGGCGGACTCTGCGCCCTGGCCACCTTTGATCGACAGGAGCTGAAGCGCCTGGTCATCGCCTCCACGTCCTTCAAACTCTTCTTGGAACTGGAGCCGCAGCTAAGGGATATCATCTTCAAGTTCTACGAAAGCAAGTACGCCTCCTGCTTGACGCTGCTGGATGAGATCAGGGACAATCTGCTGGTGGACATGTACATTGCGCCCCATGTGACCACTCTGTACACCAAGATACGCAATCGCGCCCTCATCCAGTACTTTAGCCCCTATATGTCAGCGGATATGCACAAAATGGCCATGGCCTTTAACTCATCGGTGGGCGATTTGGAGAACGAGGTGATGCAGTTGATATTGGACGGGCAAATCCAGGCGCGCATCGATTCGCACAACAAGATCCTGTACGCCAAGGAGGCGGATCAGCGGAACAGCACCTTTGAGCGGGCTTTGATCATGGGCAAGCAGTACCAGCGCCACACCAGGATGCTCGTCCTGCGCGCTGCGATGCTCAAGAGCCACATCCACGTGAAGAGCATTTCCAGGGAGGGCGGCAGCAACCACGGCGCCGAGCTCTGCGTCTCCGCTGGATCCTCCACAACTGCTCAGTTGGCCAGGATTTAGGGGAATGCACCGATGCAACACATAATAACCAATAATGAACACTTTAAACAATGTACGCACTGGCGAGATAAATAAATACAGCGAAGCTAACTAAGAGAAGAGAACAAGTAATAGTTTTTTCCATTATAATTGGGTGCTCCTGAGTAAAAGTTCCATACAAACTTATGTCGCATCACCTGAAGGTTCCGCGGTATAGCTAAGAATACAATAAACCGATGTTTGCCGACATTTCGAATTATGTGGCCTATATAATTGGACTAACCTTTAATAACCAAAGTTGAAAATCCCAAAAATTTCAAGATTTCTCTGATGAAAAAAGAAATCTGAGTATTAAATCTTAAATGGAACTAATTTGAACTATTCCTCGAATCTATTGTTCATTGTATGCTTTAATTTCGGTTTAAAGCGTTTTCATGAGGACATTTTATTGGATATATTAAACGAATAAAACCGCTTTTTTGATTTTATTATTCGTGGAAATTTCACAAAGTTCAGTTTTGTGTTCCTGTATTATTATTACTTCATACATTTTAGTAATCCTTTGAAATTTGTAAAATTCTTTTAAAACATTATTAAATAACTTCGGTTTCAGTTTATAAGACTGTATAATTTAAACAAAGAGTCATGAAAACCTTATGATAAAAATGTTAAAAATGTATTGGTGGGTTTTACAAAGATAATACTATCGCCTGGAGTACTCCCTTTCCCGCCTCCTTTCCCTGCTGACGGATCGCGAGCGGGATCGATCCCTGCGATGTCTATTTTCCTCCCTTCGTCGCTGATGTCTGTGCTCCGAGTCCTTGGACCCATGATGACCACTTCTTTTGTCGTCTCTGTGATTACTTTTGTAATTGTCCTCGGAATCGCTGCTATCCGAGGAAGAACTATCGTCTGAACTGTCGCTTACTGAAGATTTCTTTTCCTTTCTGCCTGATTTATCTTTCTTAGACTTCCTTTTCTTGCTGTCTTTGTCCTCCTTTTCCTTTTTGGATTTTTTCTTGGATGGTTTCTCGCCCTTGCGCTTCATTCGTTCAATCTTCTCCAGCTTCTTGAGCAGCTTCAGCTTTTGTTTCTTGGACAATGACTTCAGAAAGACGAGTTCAGGGTTCTGCCGATTGGCGTTGGCCTCCTCCTCGCCGTCGCTGGGCACCAGCTGGTGCTGCTGTTGGATGGTCTTGATGCTCTGCAGCTCCAGTGCGGATCGTTTCATCATCAGGCCATCCTCCTTCATCTGCTCCTCCAGCACGTTCTTGGCCATGATGTCGCTGGCCTCGGTTTCCGCGTGCAGCTTGCGTGCCTCGCTCATCGAAATGCTGTACATGGTGCACTCCTTGTCCGTGTTGATGTGGCCCCACTTGTGGCACTTGAGGCAGCGAACGTTGCGCACCTGAATGCCGAAGGGCTGGTCCCGAATCTCGGTGTCGCCCTTGCAGTACGACTCCCTGGGAGCGTTGTACTTTCGCTGCCACTCGAACTTGTACTCCGGCTCGTTGTCGTCCTTCTCGCGCTCCTTTCGCACTCCCGGCGGCGGCTCGTACATGAAATTCACGCTCAACTTGTCCTTGCTGTCCTTGCTGAGCATCGCCTTGTTCTCGTGCAGATTCTGCTCCTTTTCGTACTGGTTGCGCAGCTCCTCCTGCTTCTTTTTGTACGCCTCAGCCTGCTGCTCCGCCATCCACACCTGCGAAAAAGGTTATCATAGTTAGCCTCCTTTCTTGTTTAAAGTGTATGTACTATATCTATTTCATCAGGGCCTGGACCCACTTACCCTTTTTAGATTGTCCCTGGAGGCGGGGTGGAAGAATTTCTTACACATGTAGTTATTGAAGCCCTTGCCCATCTTGCTGGTGTGTGATATTAGCTAGTAAATAGTATTCTATTGAGGATCTCTCGACGTTTATAATTATTTTCAGGCTGCGTTGTTTTTATTAGTACTAGAGATGTGCCAAAATCTATATTTCCGATATCGATATCAAAGCCATGCATCGATGGTTTGCAAAACGTCGTGGTTTGAAGGATCGAACTGTTTCAAACGTTAGACTCTAAAAATTATAGTATTAATAATTAACTGCAAATCACTTGCAATTACAAGAACAAATGGATAGATTTAAAAGCAACGATTGAACATCGATAAATTTGCACCACTCAGGCAGTGTTGTAAAATTTTAGCATCCAGAGATGACCGCCAAATATTGTTGTAAACGATATATCGTTGATATTTTTTCAAATATTGCATTCCTTGAAAATTTTAAACAAAATATATGATTTTCGATCGATTTCAAGATAAAATTAAGATTTACCATACAAAAAATTAATAATTGTTATAATTTAGAAGTTTTCACAGGTTTCATTCCAGCATATATAATTTTTAAATGGTAGGAAAACCCTTTTTAAATATATATTCATATTTTCAAATACAATTCGGAAATACTGTTACATTTACATTGTATTTTATTAACAAAACCAAGCCAGAAATAAAGTGATTTTAAAAAATTACTAGCCACTAAAAAAAGAATCAAAAAACTATCGGTTGTCTGAAATGTAGTATTAGTAATACGGAGTTACCACGTTTTAGTGCTGTCCAACACTCAAGGAAATCTGAAATTTAATCCTTCAGTTTTAAGAGCAGTCAAAATAATTAAATTAATATTAAACCATGGAAAGCTTCGACGATTCGGAAATGGTTTACTGTCCGTACAACAAGGAGCACAAAATGCTGCGCAAGAAACTCCAGCAGCACATTCTGAAATGCCGTGTGCTCTACAAAGACACGGTGGAACTGATGGTTTGTCCCTTCAACAAGGGGCATTTAATTCCAGAGCCAGAGTTTTTTGTGAGTTAAGTGTTTCTAGTTTTACATACTTTTCTTAACTTTTAAACCCCACTTAGCAACACACAAAATCGTGTGAGGATCGCAAGATTATAGTGCATTATCAGAATAGTGCACCTGCGGTGTTGGACGAAGACACCAGGCATCCGAAGATCGAGTCCGAAGAAAACTGGGACGACGATAATGTTCCCGACTACGATCCGCAGATCTATTGTGCTACAGCCAATATAGTGAGGGAGCCAAATGGATTGTTTCCGGCACAGCGGAAGGCTTTTATCAAGGAGGAGAATCGTCGTCAACTTGGCGAGGATTACGAGGAGGAGGAGAAGAAGCCTCCAAAGGCCAAGTTCCGCGGCGAAACCCGTCCCGCACCCTACGAGCCCAGGAGGCCATACTCAAGGCGTCAATAGTTGGAACACGCAAAGATTTCCAACAAATGATGACAACGATGAAAAACCAAAGTTTTTTTTAGAGGCTTCTACCGAGCTCGCAAGTTATAAAAACCAAAGAATTACATGTTAAATTACCGATTTAGCATGTGCTATAAAACAAATAAGAAACCAAAATATAAAGCGAGAAATCAAAATATTCCTAAAATAAAGAATTTTAAAAATCAGCCGAACGCCACAAACTTTTAAAACGTCATTGTCGACTGATTAAAGAATACAAAATATGTATGTAAAATATGTGTTGAAAATAAAACAAGTGCCTTCCCTCCGTTAACTGCAAATTCTTTTAAATAAATAATTTGTATTATTTATAAAGGATTCAAATCTTTCATTTTTCCTTATGGTATTTGTATAGTACTTTAAGGGATTTAAGACATGAAAGCAAAATGTGTTTGTATACAAATTATAACTGTACCAAAGTAAATCATAAATGCATTTAACAAATTCTTTATGATAACTATAATAAACAAATACATATGTCACTTTATTTGCCACACTTTGTCAATTTTTGTTGTTGTTTGATATGGAATATACAGTACAAAGCATACTTCTGAAACATTTTTGCATTTCAACCTAGAGGTAGGGGAAAAGGGAGATAGTCTAAGCTCCCTCCTCTAGGTAATTATGCCTTGGCTAGATTAACTTGGCTGTTGTTGCTGCTCAATAACAATGCGACATAATTAAACCCTTATTAAGTTAGCTCTATGAATGCCTGCCATATTTTTTAATCGCCATTTTAAAATGTGAGAAAATCGACTTCAATTTGAAAATATAATCTTTTTGGCATTACTTAAACCTCAATTCTTGGTTAGTTAGTTACCCCGAACTCAAAAAGCCTATAAGAGTTTTTAACAGAGTTACAACTTGTAACTAAGACAAGACTTAGTCATAGACATACATCTGCAGTTAAAATAATCACATTCTTTTAATAAAGGAAACTAGTGATTTAAATAAATTATTTAGCGCTTCAATAGATTTTTTATGATTCTAACGTCATTATGGGATTAGGGACCAGTGAGACCTAAATATATTAATTACATTTTTTAGGTATGACAAATAATCCAAACCGGCACAACATGTATAGAAAGCTAAAAGACAAGTCGCTCGGCAAACTATTGAATTGTTAAAATTTTGAATGTGTTTAACTTGAATCTTAGGCATTTTAAATGCCATTGAATTAAATAATAACCGGGTCTAAGTTTTGATAAGCCGTTTTAAAATGAAAAAAATACACTTAAGTAAAAACCCGAACAAGCCTATAACGTTTAAAACATGTATCCGCTTCAACTCCAATGAATCAACATACAAACAAAAACCAAACCACATGGTTTTCATAGAATTTTAAAAACACATCCAGTTTAGTAGATTCCCCGGGGTGGATTGAAAACGCCAACAAGATCCAATTGCGAAAATCAACTTTTCTTTATTGTAAAGAATGGCGCCATTTCCACACGCGATTTTTTAAGATGTTTTGTTTTTTACACTAAGCGTTACGGTAAAAACAGTAAACAGCGACGTCCCAGGGGTCCAGTATTAAGAGTAAGCCGACGATTTACGCGGTCTCCATGGGCTGGGCGGCGGTCTCCTCGGTGTACTTGCCCTTGTCCTTGCCGAGAGCGGCCAGACGGCCCTTGCCGCGGCGCTCCAGGATGGCCTTGCGGTCCTTGTCGAGCTTCAGCTTGACGATCAGCACCTTGCTGGGGTGGATGCCCACGTAGACGTTGGTGCCGTTGGCGTTCTCGCGCTGGATCTTCTCGATGTAGACGACGAACTTCTTGCGGTACGACTGGACCACCTTGCCCACCTGGTTGCCCTTGAAGTGGCCGCGGATCACCTGCACCTCGTCGTCCCGGCGGATGGGCATGGAGCGCACGTTGTACTTCTGGCGCAGCTCCTTGGAGAGGGGCGCGGACATGAGGCGCCTGCGGATGTGCGAGGGCGCCTGGAAGTGACGCTTGCGGTTCTTCCTGCGCGACGACGACACGAACGGGTTCTGTTTCATCTTGCTAGTGCGGCTGTGAATAGGAAGGGGAAACTTGAGTTATAGTTTCTTTTGGAATTCGCAATCGTAAACAAGGAAGGGACACTGGTAGTTCACCAATCACAATCGGGGGTGTCACAAATATTATTTCCATGTTATTTCTTTGGCTGGCAGATTTTTGTTACACCCCCGATATTTGAACAATGGGGTTGTGCGACGTTTTCTCCGTTCGATTTCATTGTTTATGGGGCATAAAAGCTGGTGATGCCGGCAAAAAACAAAAATTATCACGAAAACGAACTCACCGTCGAAAAATCAACGAAAAGAAAGAAATTTGACAGATACGTCGTGTTTAGCGATGGGGAAAAAGGAAGCGCTGGGGATGGTATTTAAAACGATAGTTTCCTCTGATATCGGATGACTTAGTTTGTTTGACTGCAGCTTTATTTTAATGTTTTTTAAGACTTTTGCAGGTTCATCTAAACAACTCCATGATTTTTCAATAAAGGTTACAAAATAAAAACATTAATACAGTTTAATTTTTCGTAATTTTGCTAATTATATTTTAATCGATTAGTATCGATAACAGTGCCGTCTCTATCTGACCTGTCAACTGTCAAACTTAAGCCAGACACTTTACAACACTTTCAAGGAGTGTGTATTTGCTAAACCTGTTGACTTGTTTCCACTGTTTCATTTAAATTCAAAAATGTGTATAAAATTTATTGAAACCGATTTCGATTTGAAATTAAATTTTAATGCATTTTTAAAAATATGCATAATTCTGTTAAAAGATAAGTATTGTAAAAGTGTCCATTAAGGCGGTCCAAAAACTAAAATCGTATTCTCACACTTTCACATAAACGATTAAAGTGAGCAAATAGTTGATCAGTGTATTCCCTAAACTGTTGAATAGCTGAATCGATATAAATTCAACAGGACATTTCAGCAATAAGGGAACGACCCAAAGTGGTTCCCTTTGAATTTTCAAACAGCTGTTATTTGTTGAAAAGTTTCACGGAACTTAAAACATGTACAATTTGATTTATTATTGTTAGTTACTGTCTAAAATTGTTACCAAGGTTAAAAGAACTAAACTAAATTTTTTTTCGGGATATAGACCTTGCGAAATTACTCATACGACGTGTATAACAGTTCAAATTTTTATCGAAAACATGGTTCTCCCATTTCCAGTCCTGTCAAATTATAAATTTCATTGCATATTTCATTTCAAACAAATGGTTGAAATCTACGCCATCTAGGTTACAAAATCTTTTTAATCGAAAGCAACAGTGCGTATAAGTGATAAACCCTTAAACGCGTTTTTTTTTAATTTATTTTGTTTTACCCTAAATAATCTAATGCCATAGGTCCTTAAAAATTTTAAATCAAATGTAGACCGCACTAGTGTGCATATTAATTTATAAATACAAATTAGGGGACATAAAACAAAATATAAATTTTTATATATTTATCAAATTTGAAAAATATGTGGGCACCATCTCTTCGTATGTTTAACAGTTGCCATTTTAACCACCAAGCTTGTTGTGTTGAAATTCAGTTTTGGTGGTGAAAAGCTTTTTCAAAATCTAGTTGCTCTTCTGATCGTATCTGCTGCTGGAGAATGGTAATTCAGTCGCGTGTGAGCAGCCAACTGTTGCGTTGTGGTGTCTGAGGCGATCGGTTCCGAATACCTTAATAAAGTCCAGTTTGGCCCTCTTGATTAAATTAATTTTTCCACTACAGTCAAGATGATGAACAGCCTGAAGAAACTGCCCGTGCGCATGGTAAGTTTGCCACGCCCCCACAATTCTCACTTTTCCCTTTAAATAACTCAATTATAATTCGTATTTCTTTACTTATTTTTTAGCTGGCTAATGCCGCTGCACGTCAGCAAAATGCTGCCATGTCCTCGGCAGCCGGTCTCCCCCCACCCCTCACTTTCCTTACAGACGATGAGAAAATGATGAAGGAGACTGGTGAGTTTCATTCTAGATTTATATAGGGCATCGGAATACAGGGTTTGTAAATCCAATTGTGGACCCATTTTGATAAGCGTGTTTTTTTCCATGTCCAATTTTTAGATATTTATATGGCGCTTAGTTGGCTTGCTTGTTACGTAACTGAGAGCATCGCATATTGATGCTGCTGCTTGTTGTTATTTATTAACATTTCCATTATACTACCCAGCGAAATTGCACTATTAATATTATTTCAATTTTTTTCCCTTTTTTTCTGCTGATAAAGTGTATTTGGCGAGGGAAAGAGGAGAGGAGGCCGCTTGCCAGATAAGCACATTTTTATTTTGATAGTAGAAGTCACTTCACTTAATATCAGTGGGCAGGTTTGGCCATTTTCTTTATGATGTTTGTGCACATATTCACCTTTATAAATTCTCTAATTTTTTATTTTTATTTTTTATGATTGATGCCCCAATTACCATCTTCTGTAGGTTATAATTCCATTAAATCAATTCCGAAAGCGAATATTATATAATTAAATATGCTAATTTTATTTCAGTTTAATTTGGTGGCTTTTACAAAATCATTCGATTATTTAAATATATAAATAGTATTTAAAATCATCTCTTTTTCCTTAAAAACATCTAAAAATACAATTTTAAAAGGGGCAAATATTATTAAAAATTATTTATTTATTGCTTTTTAGGAAATGTTTGAATTGTGAAAATTTCTGTTCGAAAACTAGATAATAACAGGAATGTTTTTTTATTACATGAATTTTCTAATTTTGTGTTTTTAAAAAATATTAATTGTAAAAGTGTCTAAACAAGTGAAAAATACAATTTTTTTTATTACATTTTAATGAAGGTTTTTCCGCCCTTAAAATGTGTTTAAATAATACCCAAAAAGCTGCCAGCTTGGCAAGTTCAAGGTCTAACCTTATCACAAACTTTTTTGAGGCCCAAATTTTCCTCTCACCTTAGTTCTTTATTTAATAATATTTTCCAAGAATAAAAGTAATAATAGAGCATAAAAACCGGCAAGCAAAACTCACCTCGGGTGGGCTGAAGGAAAAAAGGGGTGGGACGGCACACACACATAGGCCCGAACCCGCTCCCGCTCACACACACGTGGTCTAAAAATAACCTTCGTCCGCCGCCACCACTCAACTTCGAATTTCGTCGCTGCTTTTTCTCGGCTGGCCGTGGTGTTCCTCGTTGAGGGGCCGGTAAAGTAAAGAATAAAATCTACCAAAGCGCGAGTTCGAGCCTCGGCTCGATCGAGCCTTCCTTTTCTGAAATATAATAGTTAAAGCGTGGGTGGAATTTTTTCTGTAATATCCTATCCTAACACACTTTTCACAGGTCAGTCAGCTGTTTGGTTCTGGTTTTATACGTCAACCGAATAGCGTTACACTTGTGATAGAGCATTAAATGCGACTGTGCCACGCCCCCTGCCCACCTGTGATCACTGTTCTAGTGATCACGCCGGACAATCAGGGGCGTGGCACTTGGTCGGGCGCCCTTCCCTAGAGAGTTGAATTAGCTGAGTGGGAGGATTTACGTCCCCCTGCAATCCATCTAATTCCTAGTTGGGAAGGTTACATTTTTCTTTTTATCACCAAAATTAATGTTCCTTTGTCCCGCTTATCAATCACTAAATTGGTCTCAATCTATATGGTATATGACATGGTATATACAAATTCTAAGTGGGAGAGTATGTGTCTATATGGCCTGACTGTTGCGTAATCTGAGCTGAATGCAAAGTGGCCAAGTGCATGAACTAAAACTGGTTTTTTATTTTCTTTAAGCTGTTTTCACTATAAGTAATGGTACAGTTAACACTAAAATTGTTAAATAAATTATAAAGTTAATGATCCAGAAATAAAAATTCTTAAAATATCTATTTAAATTCGTCAGTGTCATTTTAGTGCTATAGATATTTTATTTAAATATTAAAATTTATAATTCTTTGCTTAGTTTGCTGGAAACATTGTTTTCCTTTAAGGTTAATTTTTCTATTAAATTTCCAAGCCAATTAACACAAAAGTATAGATTTTCATGCATTTTCATATTAAATATTTCAAGGAAAGTTCCAAAAGGGATAATGAAACTTTACCATCGAGTCTATTGGGACACGTCACATCTGCCAGAAAACCACTGACCCCTGCCCATATGGTTGGAAAACTAAATGAATAGACAAAGTTGGTCAATTATTTAAACATTTCCCATGATAAGTAAAGGAAAAAAATATTTCCAAATGTATGCAAAATGGCAGGAAAGTGAATAAAGAAGGGGAATAGCTAAGGTGTGAGAACTTTTGTGGGTGTGTACCAGTTGCTGGCTTTCCAAGCAGAAAAACAATGTCAAGAAAAAATGCTTTAAAAAGATCAATAATAAATACGTCGAGAGAATAATAGAATTAGCGAAAAAGACAGCTGCGAGAGCCCCACGCGATCGGAGAATCTGCTGATAAAAAATACACACGCACAACCCACACAAAGATTTTTTATCTGACAGACAAATGTATATAGATAAATACATACCTCAACTTATACAAACAGAAGACCAACAGCAAATATCGGGCCCCCTTAGAAGAGAAAGAGGTAGAAAAGAATAAAAAGAAAAAAGCTTAAGACTCGTCTTTTTTAAAAACGTGTAGTCAAAAGTTCTTTAAAGCTTTACAAAAAATTAGTTTTAAAGCTTTTCTACCGATCGTTAAAAGTTTTTATTTTATAGTTTTTTAACTTATTTAATTTAATTTATTTACATTTTAATTATTATTTATTAGTACTTTTTTTTTTTTTTTCTAATGATCAATTTACTTAGGAAATATATACATTTTAGTCAAAGTTGGGTAAATTAAATAAAAATATTCATTGACTTGGGTACTGTATAAGAATTGAAAAAAATAAAATAAAATAATAATGAATTGTTTTCGTTCACTTTCAGTTGCCAAACTGGCTCAGGAACAGATTCAGCCCCTGGTCAAGAAGATGGACTTTGAGCACAAATTCGATCCCTCCGTGGTTAAGGCTGTGTTCGAGAACGGTTTGATGGGCATTGAGATCGATACCGAGCTGGGAGGCAGTGGCTGCAACTTCATGACCAACATCATCGTGGTGGAGGAGCTGTCCAAGATTGATCCCGCCGTGGCCGCCTTTGTGGACATCCACAATACCCTGGTCAACTCGCTGATGATTAAGTTCGGCAATGCCGAGCAGAAGGCCAAGTACCTGCCCAAGTTGGCCCAGGAGTATGCCGGCAGCTTCGCCTTGACCGAACCCGGAGCAGGATCAGATGCCTTCTCCCTGAAGACGGTGGCCAAGAAGGACGGCTCTCACTATGTGATTAACGGCTCCAAGATGTGGATCTCCAACTCTGATGTGGCTGGAGTCTTCCTGATTTTCGCCAATGCCAAGCCAGAGGATGTAAGTAGTTTATGTTAATTGAATCTCTCAACTTTAAACCTAAGAAGTAAAAAAATCGGATGATCCTTGTAAAATGCTTTTTTTTTAAAGTTTTTTTTTAATTTTTTTAGTGAGAACCTTGCGTTAAGTAGGTTCATTTACTTTTAATCACAGTTTTTCAATCATTTTCATTAGCTTGGGCTTCACTTTTTCGCAGGCCTCTAGTCGATCACATAATATTTTCCGTAGCTAATCTTTATGTTATTTTAAACGATTACCATCTAATCGCTCTGAGTTTAAAGTTCAGTTGATTGAAGATCGCTAAATAATAAAATGTGCGAATCATTTTTGATTTTTTAGAATATTTAAAAGATTCAATATAAAAAATAAATAAATAAATAAATAAATAAATAAATAAATAAATAAATAAATAAATAAATAAATAAATAAATAAATAAATAAATAAATAAATAAATAAATAAATAAATAAATAAATAAATAAATAAATAAATAAATAAATTATATAATAAATATCGAATATTTTTCAAATTTTTTCCAGGGCTACCGTGGCATCACCACCTTCATCGTGGATCGCGAGACCCCCGGACTGATCGTGAACAAGCCTGAGGACAAGCTGGGCATCCGTGCCTCCGGAACCTGCCAGCTGACCTTCGACAACGTGCGCGTGCCCGAGGAGAACATCCTGGGAACCTTCGGCCATGGCTACAAGTACGCCGCCGGCTTCCTGAACGAGGGCCGCATCGGAATCGCTGCCCAGATGGTGGGTCTGGCCCAGGGAACCTTCGATGCCACCATTCCCTATCTGCTGGAGCGCAAGCAGTTCGGCGATGCCATTTACAACTTCCAGTCGATGCAGCACCAGATCGCCACCGTGGCCACCGAAATCGAGGCTGCCCGCCTGATGACCTACAACGCGGCTCGTCTGCAGGAGCAGGGAGTTCCCTTCCAGAAGGAGGCCGCCATGGCCAAGTTCTTCGCCTCGGAGGTGGCCCAACGGGCGGCCATCAAGTGCGTCGATTGGATGGGAGGCGTCGGCTTCACCCGCGATTTCCCCCAGGAGAAGTACTACCGTGACGTGAAGATCGGAGCCATCTACGAGGGCACCACCAACATGCAGCTCAGCACCATTGCCAAGTGCATCAAGAAGGATTACACCGGTTAGGAAGATTAGTCCTACTTAATAAAATCCCCCCCACACAAGCTGAGATATCGTACGTCAGATACGTCAAGTGCATTTATGCGTGGGAACCGCTGGAACAATTTTGAACGGTCTTCCGTTATCGGTTCCCTCCATGTTACCTTAGCATTTACCACATAGTTCTTTCTGTTATATTGTATTAAATACAATTAAAATATATACACAAAAAAAATATATAACAAATGTATTTGGAAAATGGATAATTGATAAGTTTTCAATGACTGCCTCCATCGGTTGTGGTGAAAGCCGCCAGCAATATGTTGATCACGGTGATCATGAAAACTCCCATCACCAAGAGATCATTCGTTCTTTCGTAGCTTCGATTCTTAAAACGCTTAAGACGTCGCTGTGGAATTTTCCTTTAAAAAGGTTACTTTAATAATGACTTACTTACATACCTTAAAGATCAGCATTATTCCAACTAAGAGCTGAAGCACCAGGGAAAGTATCACCATGATCATGCTGTATATGTAGGTGGAAGCCTTGTCATTATAGGTGATCAAAAACCGGAGTTGATTGGCATTCGCCGAGAGCAAAGCTATATCCATAAGGCCTGATAGGTTGAATAAAAAGGTTAAATAAAAAGGTTAAATAAAAAGTTATTGGCACACAATAATAACATTAAAGAATGTTTTTTAAATATTAAGTTCTTACCTTCAGCAACATTTTTGTTTGCTGCATAGCTATTTCCTCCAGATAGATCGCTGGAACACTTCTTTTTTGTACCCTTGGGTTTTTCATCCTTATCGTCCTCCTGTACATCCACAACCACATCCCTTCCTGAACCGCAACATGGACCACTGGTTGTACTGGCAAAACTTCCCCCGGAGCTGGGAACATCCTCCAAAGATATTTTCACCTCGCTGCTGTCCATTGTTCAAGTGTTCGTCGAATAATAAACATTTCAATGCTCTCCTTTTAAAGAATGCGAAAAGCTTGCCTTGTTTTCGAGCATGGAAACCGCAATTTAACCGCGATATTTCAAATGATAAAAAAGAAATGACACTGACCGAGCTGCCCCAAAAAACTGGGGCATCAGACGACCTGAAAAAACGCTGGGGTTGTTGTACTGACTTAGAAAGTTTGCCTTAAAGTATGCTAAGGAAGCTAACTTTTAATGTACATATGTCAAGGGGATTTTTAAAATGAATTTTTAAATACATGTACACGAGACTGAGGCGTTTTACCTTATTTTGTTTGATTATCCCAACCTCAAGCACTTTTTTGTTTAATGCTTCGCACGTGAAGTCATAAAAAACCCATGAAACCTGAATAAACAAGGACCACAAACAAGAATTTATGGGATGCCCAACCACAGTTGGCAGCTTAACCTGATTCTCAAAGTCTTGGCTTATTTTCTGCGTTCCCTTTCAAGTCCACATGTAAAGGACTCTTTAAAAATTGACAGTTGAATCAGGCTAACCTTTTACAAGTAATTATAGATTCTTCGCCAATAAACTTTTAAACTCAACAGACAGCTGTCACAAGTATGGCAGTATCACATCGAAAATTTGGAGGGTAGATTATAAAGTTCTGATTCACTTTGGTTCAATTAGTCACCTAAGAAATTTACAATGCATAATGCATATATCTAATAATATTCATTCCCTTCTACTGTGCAATTGCCAACACAATATATTACGTATACGTGATTTTGAATTTTTTAAATCATTTAAATCTATACATGCTATATTCACATTTCAGACAATGCTTTGAAAATGGTGATGATAAAATAATTAAAATTTTGGATTAGTTGTGTCTTATAAATTGTAGTTTGTTATGATTTTTTTAAAGATATTTGTATTTGAAGTTGTAGAAAAAGCGGTAAATTGATGGGTTTTGATGGCTCTAAACATTGTTAAATTAAAACAACATGAATTATAATATGTCATTTTTCCTTTTTTGTGGTTATTGAACCTCAAATTTCGGAACAGCCCTCGAAAGTCGTGTCGCATTGCAGGACGAAAAAGAACAAGTGCGTCATGACACCCCCTCGTTGCTCCTGGTCGTAAAAAGACAGCCGTTTGTCTGCGGCTCTTATCCTTTGGTCTCCGTATTCCCCTGCCCAATAAACCGCTACATAAACTGACAGACACAATTGCTCTCTCTTTGCAACCGGCTTTCTCTCCACTCTCTGCCACTCCCACTGCGCCGCGCCCCCTTCCTCTGAAAGCCTTTTAGCACGTGTAGTTTGTTTGCCACTTTGTTCGGTGTTTGTTATGACTGGAGCTGGTGCTCTCTCACATGGCGCTCTCTTTGTGGAGCTCTCTTACACTTAGAAAATACGATTTAAGTAAATTCAGAAAATTGGTATTTGCAAAAATATAATATTTTGCATTTCAACCACTTAAAGAACTAACCAATTTATTGAGTTAATCCGCTTAAATGAAAAACATATTAAAACAAAAACAAATAATATACATTAATTTGGTTTAAAAATAATCTACATTCTGAGTATACTTTCCTTGGCCAACCCATTGAACAGGAGACGGCTAAAGCGAAGGCACCCCGGCGATCTCTGGACAAGAGGACGTCATGTCTCACGAGTCCTGAAGCAGTAATGCGTTTTTTGTATTGTTGTTTTAGTTTTCTATTATAAGTTATAAGATTTGTTACTCGCCATCCTGTTATGTATTCCAGTTATTTGTTCCTATTTGTACTATACGTTTTATAGCCATTAAGTTGGCTGATTAATGTAAAATTAAATGAGTTACACTAAAAAAAAAAAAAAAAAAAAAAATCTGAGTATACTATTAGGATACAACAACTTTAAAAAAATTAATTTTTAATTCATGAAATTTAGCTTTTTTCTGGTTTTTGAAGTTACCATTAGGAGCCCTTAAACTTGTCAAACATGTCTTGTAAAGAATAATTGTATTTATATTTCATTTAACGAATCGTATGTTGGCCTACCAATAAGTATTCAGTTCAATACCCCCCATTTTTAATAAATGTACTAATTTTCAGTTGATAAATTTCTTCGAGTGCCAGTGCATGGCTTTCCCTCCTTGGCTGTGTTTGCCTCTCTGTGTGGCTTCATTCATGCGATTGCGATTGCCCTTGTTGTTAGTGTAGTTGCACGCATGCTCAAAACGGAGACTCAAACGCTAACGGACTTTGTTTCCACGGTTCTCGGTTGGCAGTTTTCAGTTCTGTTTGGAACGTCGGACCGTTTAGCAGTAATTTTTCAGTTTCGGTTTTTCGGTGTTCCATGCTCGGTTCTAAGGCTTTTCCTCTCTCTTTTCGCCCTACGCCTATATATACGCCCCCCAAAAACGACCCGGTAAAAAATACGATTGGAGGAATCCGCGAGTGTCGAAACGTAAACTTTTCATTGATTTTCCCAGGCTAATTTAGGTGTATGGATATACGGCCCGTGCCTAAATATAAATAATCCCGACAAATGTGTTTCATCTACGAGTAGTCCAGATTCCTTAGGTAAGTTCTGTGGTAAACGAATAAAAATCAATGACCGAGAATTCCATGTGCCCGCCTTGACCTCAGTAGGCTCCATTTTGATTCTCGCTCTTTGTATCCTCCATGCCCTCTTTTTCGGCCTCTTCTTGTTTGCCCAAACCTGATTTGACCCGGCTATCAAGAAAACTGCCTATAAAATCAATAGCATGGCCTAAACACACTTGCTTATATTGCATAATATAAGCACGTTCCTTTATTTGCAAACTTCGTTACCATGTTCTTATTGATGTACTAAGATATAATAAGAAAAATGGGGTAGAAGGCCTTAGCTGAAAGACTTTTAAATGTGACCCAGAAAATGCACAAAAAATAAACCATCATTAAAAAAGAATTTACGAATATTTGAACCTTAGTCTATTTAGTTTTCAAAAAATTATTTTAAATATTGTTTATGACCTTATGCAAATCTAAATTATGATTCTAAGTCCTAGAAAAATGTATATATAATTCAATATAAAAGTTTTAAGATTTCAAAGACAATGGTTTTTAAAAAGTCATTGTATAAAAAAGGCAATTAAAATTAAACGGCTCTACATTAATTTAAATACCAATTTGTAAGGCATTATTAGGTATTGTTAAAGTCCAGAGACTACAAATTTCGCACTTGTTTTTGGTTCGTCCGTCTGCATTGTCCAAAGGCGAATAATCTGCTTAGTGAGAGGGCCTCGACCAGATGTCTGGGTGCAAAGTTTCACTCCCGGCCTGATAAAGGTTTCCCCTGTTCTTGCTGTTTCTGCTGTCCCGAGTCTTATCAGCGGTGCAAAAGCTTGGGATGCGCTCCACTGGCCGCTTGTTTATGTGGGTAAAGTAGGTCGGTCTTCTCGGTGCCTTTATGGCGTTTGCCTCTGCAACAATGCAGTCTACAATCCGCCGAAGTGGCAAACCAAAGAGGATTACAAATTTGCAAAGTTTCTTTACTCCATGCGAGTAATTAATATCCAGCAAGAGGGTTGTTACTTACATTTCTGGTCTGAAAAGGAAAATTGTTTAGTTGAGTTTTCCCTTTTTAAATCTGAACATATGTGCATAACTTTGTATCAGATTTCAGTATACAAAATTCCATAGTGCAAAATCTTAGTAATTGGAACAAGTATGATTTGATATCATTGTTTAAATTACACCAATAGTTTGTTAGTAACAAAGGAAAAGGTATTTCTGTTTTTGAGAAATAAATATTGTAAATTATAGCATTACCTGATAAACTTGCTATTGAATAACAATTTATTATGATAATTATATTCACGTTAGAAATAGCCAGGGAATATTCTCATACAGCAACACATTTTTGTTATACTCGCATGCAATTCAAAACCAGTTTAATCTACTCTCTCTGTCGAATTCTAGGGATTTCCCATCCAACTTGTAATGTGGTTCAATATTTTAGCCTTCATAAGTGGGAAATACTAAAATTAAATATTCAATCATGAGAAACCGGTTATGTTAGAATGCAGTTTATGGCAAGTGCTTATGCTTGAGGTCAAGTAAAGTTATAAATCAATGTCAGGAAATAAACGAAAGTAGCTTATTTAATAATAAGGCTATTTGTTTTCTTATTTAGAAGTGCAAAGTAAAAAAAAATAAATTTATTAAAGCTGAAAGGAAAAAATGTATATTAAGGTAATGGTTGACTAAATGTCATTGCTTTTAATTAGGTATATATAAAGGTTTACTGGGTCAAGAAATTAAGTTCATAACGACTAATTTAAAAATTATAACAATTTTTTTATTGGAAATAATTAGCGTATGTCTGGCCAAAATTAAAAAAATGCAACTTGAAGAGTATTAGAGAGCCTTAATTGAGAATTCTAATCTTTATAGGTTTATTGCTTGTACTTGCAGTTTTTTTTGACGCTTTGTATTTCAGAGACTGATAAGACGTTTTCAAAACATAGGAGATAAAGCCGTAATCGCAAAACTGATGGACAAGTGCAGCTCTGCCAGACATTGCAATACGTACAAAATAAATTTAATAATTTCAAACAGTACTAGACTTTGGACAATGACATTCTATATCTGACATTCTCGTATCTGGTCAGCTCAATCTATCCTTTAAATATGATACAGCTGTAAGTCCAATTTGAATAATCATTCCGAATTGAACGCATTTTAATTGCTGTCACTTGACTCGTCAAGGGGCCAGTGGCAATTATCTATCTATAAAAAGAAATATAGGTAGATGTGTGCATATGGATTACCCTCTAATTAGGCGGAAAATATATGGTATTCGAATGTTGCGGTTTTGCCCTCTGGTTCAGCTTGATTGCACTCCGTGGACATGGGAACCGAGTATAATAAATGCCTTGTTAAGCGTCGTATTCCAAGTGCAATGTTTCCCAAAAACCCTGTTATTACAAAATATAGTTTATAAAACATTTAACTGATGTGTGCACTTTTATTGATTATTTTACAGGCTATCTTTTGCGGGCAATCATTAAGCTAAACACGTAACATTCACTCAGGTAGCAAAGAACAACAACAAATTACAACTACAACGCCAATAAAAACAATAATATAAGTAAAGAGAGAGAACAAAAGCGATGACGCCGGAAAAATCGGTTATGGCCTACGTCAATCATTTGATAGTCAGCAATTTTTCATATTTCTGTAAGTATTGTTTTACAAGGTTTATAACATTTTTGCATTTAAACACGAAAATTATATCCAAGATCAATATAAAACATTTTGCTCTTGAGAACATTAAACAAATTCCTTCCATTTAGTTTTAATATTTTAATTGTTAATTCAAGAGCTATTAATTATACAGGAACCAATTCTCGGTAAATTAGAATTGAACTGTGCCAAAATAAACCGTTTTTAATTTTTCTAGAAATTTAAAATAATTGTCCATGTTTTTTGATTTAAAAGACAATTGCGGCTTTAGTCCGCATTAGTCGTCTTAATAATTCCAAACATCTTTAACGCCATCTTATTAACTTGTATCACTCCGATTGCCTTCCCCAGGGGACGAGATTGATGGCTATCTGTACTATCTGGGCGGAACTTTGGGTACTGTAACCCTAGGAAGCCTGGCCGCAAGCATTGCATACTATTTTGCTACAAGACCCGTACCGGAACGACCGTTAGTGCCTCTGGAAAACCAATCCCCATTGCTTGAGGTATGATAATTTCGCAATTGATAAACTTTGAGCACATCAATTACATCATTGAATGTTCAATTGGCAATCGTTTGTCTTGAGTTTTCTGTTTTGTTTCGCTGCTCGGTTTTTTTTCGGATTTTCTTAGGTTTTGGGTCTATTTGAGGTAGAACAGGCGAATCCCAAAAAAGCTTTGATGTGCACATGTCCACAATCACGTTGAGTGCGATCACGATTCGGATTCTCAAAAACTGACTCTGCTTCGTTGTTGTCGTCACATGATTTTCACACATTTTCACCATTTCGATTTTCAGTTTCGCCTTTGTTCTTCGACTTTTAGCCATGACGTCTTTGCCACAGTGGGACACGAATTGTTAAAAATATCTGCACCACCTCACGGTCCAATTGAGTACCGAGCTGTAAAGGAAAATAAATAAATAAATTTGAAATTGCTCTTGCCAAGACTGCAACATTCTCGCTGATAAATTATCAAATGACAGCGGCACGACAATAATAAATCTTGACATGGCTCAATTGGCATTTTCCCCTAATTAGTCGCCTGGTTCTCTCAATTTCGATCTATGCTAATATTTTCCCCACCCACCGCCACACGATTGTCAGAAGAATTTCCTCCAACTGACACTCGGCGGCATTTTACTCATGCGTTGGTGTAACGGACCTTTCCTTTTGTGTTGATGTCATGTAAATAAACAAATATTGACACAATACCATATTTCGCGCGATATTTGGCATTGCCAAAATGGCAAACAAGAATTTACGGGGGTTGAAGGTTGGTGACACAGTGGAACGCAGCAGACTAATTGGTTAAAAAAAAATAATTAAAATTAATTAAATTTAAAAAGACTAAAAGCTAAGAAAATTTTTTAATATAAATTAAACTTAATTACAGTAATATTAAATTCTTTTCAATATTCAGTTGAATATACCCTAAATATGCATTTGCTGCGGTTAAAACTGGTTCAAAGCAGCTCAAAAAATATTTAGAGAACATTGTTCTAAGAATAACCAATAATGTTCAATAATGTAATTTAGTTCGAATATTTTTTGCTTAATTAATAGAAACCGTTTTCTGTATTTATAGACCCAAGAGATATCTTAAATGTTTAGAAATTTTCTTTTAAATCGGTTCCAGTTTTTAAAATATTATTATTTTTAAAGCATAATTTTAAGAGCATTAGTAATAACACAAAACTGGCTCCCAAAAACTAAAAAAAATACGCCAGAAAAAATACAAACAATGAAAGAACAACACAATAATAAGGAAATGTCAAACATTTGACAAGACAGGGCCAACCTGTCTACATATGAGCAGCTACATGTTGCGTATGCGGTTGTAAAGCAAGTACTATACGTAATTATGCATTTTTGAATGTTAGTCATTTTGTGTGTTTGTTTAGTCTGGTCTGGGGATACAAATGCAAGTGCACCAACAAGTACTTGGCGCTCTTTCTAGCATATAGAGTGTTTTCCAATATATGAACACTTAAATTGCTAATGAGTGCAAATTGAGGTGCAAATGAAACGATAAATATGTGCGAGGTGAACTAGTTTTGAGCTAATGCTTAGGGGATTTTGTATGAAAAGTGAATTAATTAAACATTCATTCAAAAATGTGTAATGGACAGTAAATAAACCGTTTTATAATAAATTTATGGGAATAAGGATTGAGCTTATGTGGATTAAAAAAGGTACTACAAATAAATTAAAGGATTTTATAATTGTCGAAGTGGTGTGGGTTTTCTGTGTTAAAATTACTAAAGTATTCTACTATACTACCAATAGTATACTACTATACTTCCAATAGTATACTACTATACTACCAATAGTATACTACTATACTACCAATAGTATACTACTATACTACCAATAGTATACTACTATAATACCAATATAATACTAATATATTACAAATATAATACTAATATATTACAAATAGTAGTATACTATACTAAAAGATATTTTGCTATAGATACTATTATTGTAGTTAAGTGAAACAAAAAAAAGTACTTAAGTATACTACTATAGTACCTATAGAATACTATTATTGTACCCAAAGTATACTACTATATTAGTTAACTGAAACAAAAAAAAGTATAATCCAATTAATTTAAATATTATATTTAATTCATTGTAGTATCTATTCATATATTTAATACCCAAAAGTAAACGAATGTGTTTTATTTTTATGAGGCCAAAAAGTGGGCGTGGTCCTTTCTTATGGACCATAAATCATTTCGGTTATTAAAGATTTAAAATATTGCTGTCACTATAACAAAACCACACCTACAGCACCCTATTAACACCAAAAAGATATTTTGCAAAAGCGTGTAGTAAAGAAAAAAATTCAGACAGGACAGGCAAACAACTTGATCGGTCTAAAAAAAATTAGATCAGAACTATCTAACAAAGAGAAGAAGAAACACCGTTTATTATCAAAATAAGAACATATAACGAATTAAATTCCTAGCCAAACGCTGCATTCTTCTTCATGATCCCCCCGAAAATTCTCCTAAAGCCCCGATATTTTACTCTCAATTCTGCTCACTCTCTCTCCCAAAAGAAAAGAAGATGCCTCGGGCCGGCCAAAATCATTTTTAGCTACGGCCAATATTTTACTTCTGCCATTCAGTTCGAAATTCAACATCGTGTCGCGCAGATCGTGACGGGCTGAAGCCCCTAGAATATATTTCAAATTAGAAAAATCCCAAAAAAAAAGAAAAAACAAGCAACAACAACATCAACATAATGTACATATCGTAGATATATATCTATGAAACAAACGTATTTTTTATAAATAATAGCTCGTGTATACTAAACCAAGCGAAAATGAAGAGCGAAAAAAACGCACGACAATTTGCAACAAATTGACAAAAATACAAGCGTTTAATCTCATTACGTAAAGCGCAAGAACCAAAAAAAATGTTCAAAAAAGTGAAAAGCAAATAACGAAGAAAAATTAAAACATTTTCCCATGGAAATCGATTTGCCAAAGTGTCAAAGTGCCGTCGCAGTTGCCACGTGAACTCAGCCCCTCAAGTTCAAGTTCACACAGTTCTATACTTAAAACATCTAAGGAAGACCACAACCCACAGAAATACTTATATACTAATTTTAACATCATTTTGATACAAATTTGGTTTTATTGGTTTGGTTTTGTAAACAGCTTAAATTGATTTGATCTTTACGATGTTTTTCCAATTTACTATAAAATTGTGTAATTGTTTATATTTAGAGGGGGATTGAGAGATGTTTCCTGACCATTCTGAACAATTTTTGGGCCATGTGCACTTTTAGGCGTAAATGCCTTGGTAAAACAATTTATATTTATTACATTAGGTCTCTACTTGAACTTGCAATTTGACGACCTCAAAACAACTAAAATTTAGTAATAATACATTTTAAATACCCAAAATTGTATCAAAATGCATTTAAAACAGACTTTACATTTAAGATTCTGAACTTTTACATTTAATTCTTTTGAATTTCACTTCTGTATAACATGCCAGAAATCTATCTTAATCAATCAAGCTTAATGTCAGGAAGAAAAAGCATCTGCTGTGTAGATATTTGCTTTAGCATAGTCAACCTAATTACAAAATTCTTTATAGCTCCTTCCTTTATTTCATTTAATGCAATTTTTTTTAAAGTACAATTATAAAATATATCTAGATTCATAATGAATTTTAAGATTAAAAATAATTTGGTTTTTTTAAACTGACATAACAAAAATGGTGAAACATTTGTACACAGAATTCAGCGATTATTTAAAGAATGTACCAGATAATATATAATGTAAAATGTGCCAGCCACCTGGAAACACAAAATGGAAAGTCATCCCAAACGACCTTGAAATTCCCGCACATTTTTTCTGGGCTTCGTTTATTTTTTCAAAAAAATATGCTGCCAAACTATTGATATGCTGCAGATCCAAATAAAATTCTTCTTCTGGCCCCGCTGGTTCATTCATTTCTTTTCTTCTGCTCTCGCCCTTTCTCTAGCCAATAGTTTATGGCCAATTTTATGACCACCACAATTACCATAACTCAAAGATGAATTGCTCATTGAGGAAAATGTTTGCTCTCTGCCAATTGCCTCAAGACATCCCAATGAGGCCCGAAACGCGTTCCCCATGAGTCAGTTCTCGATCGTCTCTATAGAGAAATTTCAAATGGTTCTTTTATTTCTTTTTTTGCAACAATCATTCTGGTGTGTGTGAAAATATGTTTTCCTTTTTTTTCTTTTATGCGGCCACACACACGGGTCTCATAGATAACAACAGAGTGGAACGCTTTTACCCCCAAACGAACTATTTATAAATTAATTTGGGGCAGGCCAAGCAAAGTCCGCAGACGACGCCTTGTCGATATTGTTGGCCATTCTCTCTCTTTGTTTTAGCCATTTCGCATCTCTCTGTATTTTTTGTAGCCCCTTTAGGGGCCGCCCTGCAGCTGCCAATATTGAAAAATTATAAACAAAATTGACTGGGGCTGCACTTGCCAAAAATATGTAAACGGACAGCCAGGCGTTATAATTATGCTTTGGTTTTTGACTTTTGGCTTGGCCTTTAATACGATGCAAATTGCCGCAATTTAAAGAATTTTGTAAAGTGATTTAAGAGAATTTCCTGGGTATCTACATTAATTAACAAACTGTGCATTAGAGCAATAGACTTTTAATTTTAAAATTGAATCAAATAATATTATGTAAATAGTTCAGAAAAGAGTTAAAACTTTCAATATCATTTTTGTATTTTGTTTATTTTCTGGTTTTAAAATTCAATTTAAATTTTGGATAATAGGTATAAACAATGTAGTTTGTATACAAGCTTATAACAACTAAAACTTAGGACTTTATTTTGCTTTTATTCGAATTGAATCGAACGTTAGGAAAATATAAACATAAAATAAAATTCGATGTAATGTAAACAAATATTTCCGACAAACCAAAAGTCTATTTTTACGCACTCTAATTAACATTTAAACGGTCTTGGTGTGGTTATGAAATTCGCCTAATGTGAAAATGTAAAATAAGAACATCCCTTGGGCTAATTGAGATTCTCCTGGCAATAAAACGGCTATTTTAATATCGGCAAATTGACCAAAGAAATGTGCTAAAGTTCGTGTATGTGTTTTACAGTCGCTTGGAAAATGTGCATATTAAATGCCAGATGAAATCTGAACGATCAATAAAGAAAGCCACAAATCAAAAGAGTGTCTAACAATCTGCAATAATAAAATCAACTTAAAAAGTGATAATAAAATTAAGACCAAGCCATGTCGTGTTGCGGTCAAATTACCAGTATACGAGTTCCCATCGAGCTAAGCAATCAGAGCGATGTGCTCAAGGTAACTCCCAATAAGGACGAACTTTCTTAAAAACAAATCAAAATATATTACAACCTAACACCGGATTAACTAAGCATTAACTAATATAAACTTTATTTTGCTTCTTTTTTTTTTGTTTACCGTCTCTTACATTTCGTGGGCTAGATCATATATGATCATCGACTAGATATCCACCACAGGGTAGGCCTCATGTGCCCCTCGGGGTATGCTCTTCAAATTAACATTTTCCCCCTTAGACTTGCGTCATTAATGAAATATATAAACAAAATGAATTTGGAAAGCACTTTAATCTGTGGAAAACAATTATTTTTGAAAATACATTTGCATTTTGCTCATTAAAATCAGCCAGCAAAAATAAACAAACTAACTTTTAGGATCCTCCTCCCAGAACCCCCTAAAAAATATTCCCCCATCGTAGCGTATTTTGATATTCGTTCTCGTACATCAACACTTTCGGCCATTGCGGTAATTTCTTTCGCAGCTGTTTACCATAAAGGAAGTGCTCTATGGCGCTACTACTCTATTCTCGGGCGCCCAAATTAAATCCCGTCGAGTGATGGGTTTATGTCTCTAGCCCCAAAATAAACCATATATCATAGCGATCGGCTACGAAAATAAATTTAAATGGTTATTGATTTTAATCTAACAATTGGCTGTGATTTATTACGCGAGTTGCCAAAAATAAACACACTCAAATGGACTGTTTGGTGGACGATGAAAGCTTAAGGTTATTTCGAAAAAGGTCTTTAGAATGCAAACCAAATTTAAATTTAGTTAGTTTTCTCTACTAGGAAGGAATTACAATAATATAAAGATTACCGTAGTTTTGTTAGGTGATTGCTCCTAACTTTTAATAGTCCGCTTTCCGATTTCTCTTAAACAAGGATACAAAGTGAAAACCCCTTAATTAATAATTTCATTTGGCCCTAAAACATTGAATTTTTTAGCTCAATTCACAAAATTATAACAATCATATGTCTGTAGTACCCAAAACCAAAGGCTGCACTTACTAAACTGATCTCTTGATTGTATATATACTATTTCATTGTATTTTACCGCAATATCTCTATCAACGTCTCTCACTCATTGCACGTCCTCGATTTCTCTGTTTCTTTTGGGGTCACTTCACTCGCATTGCAGGGTCCAGAACAAATACACGTCTCCAAATTCTACAAGGAGTCGAAGAATGGAAAGTTCGTGTCCTACATCACAGAGAATGTCCGCACCCTGTACCAAACGTTTCGCGAGGGCGCCTACGCCTCCAACAATGGACCATGTCTCGGTTGGCGCGAAACCCTGACATCCCCATACCAGGTGAGATAGTTTAAATTTAACCAATATTTTGACTACAATTTTCTTAATTTAAAAATAATTAATACTAAATTTAAAAAATAAAATCGAAAACAATTTAATTAGTATCTGTCTGCCTATCTATTTTTTAAATATATTTTTTGTTTTCTGAATTAAAGTAAATTAAATATTTAAAGTTTGGAACACAATCTTAGTATAAAAAGGGACTTTAAATTGTAATACTTTTTAAAACAAATTTCCATACATTTACGAGCATAAGGGGGGTTTACATTTGTATTGAAATTAAGGTCCTACTCTCACCCGCCTATACGGTGCGCATTGTGGTATTCAAGGTATACGAAAATACAATTTTTGAAAAAATCGTGTTTTAGGTTCTGCGAATTGGCTTCAAAGTTTATCACCCATACGCACTGTTGCTGGATCAAAAAGTTTTTCTAATCAAGGTGGCAAAGATTTCAACAATTCAGTTGATGTTTTGCTCTCCCTTTTTTACAAATTATTCCAACAAAATTCATAATTTGACAAGACAAGAAATGGGAGAACGAATTTTTTCGACCAAATTCGAGCTGTTATACGCGTCGTATGAGTAATTTTTAAGGAAACTTTGAAGACGTTTCGCCAGGTCTAAATCACGAAAAAATATTTTTTTGTTTTCACATACATTTTTTGCTTACTTTAATATACCATATGAAGAGGGTGAGAATAGAATTTCATTTTATGGACCGCCCTAATGAGCATACGTTTAATACCTCAATAAGTAGCAGGTGGATAGTCCAAAACTATTATTTTATAAAAACTAACTTATAAAGGATATCGAATTGGAATTTTTAAATACATTTTCATCTAAAATACGACCAACCTTTTACAGTGGATCAACTATGATGAGGCTCTGCTGCGCGCCAAGAACTTTGGTGCCGGAATGCTGGCGCTGGGAGCCCGGCCGAAGCAGTTGATCGGAATTTACTCGCAGAACCGCCCCGAATGGATCCTGTACGAGCAGGGCTGCTACTCGTTCTCCCTGGTGGTGGTCCCACTGTACGACACCCTGGGTCCCGACGCCTGCGCCTTCATCATACGCCAGACGGACATGGCCATCGTGGTGGTGGAGGATGACGGCAAGGCCGCCATGTTGCTGGAAAAGGCGCCGCGCAGTCTGAAGATCATAGTGGCCATCAAGCCCATCCGCCAGACGACCTTGGAGCGAGCCCGCAGTCGGGGCATACAGATATTCTCGTTCATCGATGTGGAGAAACTGGGGGCCAAGGGCAATCATCCGGAGGTCCCGCCGACGGCGGAGGATCTGTGCACGGTGTGCTATACGTCCGGAACGACGGGCAATCCGAAGGGCGTGATGCTCACCCACGGCAACGTGGTGGCCGGCGTCTGTTCTGTGATCCTGCAGATGGGCGACCATCGCATTCGGGCCGGCGACGTGATGGTATCCTTCCTGCCCCTGGCCCACATGTTCGAGCGGTGCTGCGAGAACGGAATGTACTATGTGGGCGGTTGTGTGGGCTTCTATTCCGGGGATATCAAGGAACTGACGAACGATCTGAAGATGCTGAAACCGACCGTAATGCCGGCAGTGCCTCGCCTCCTGAATCGAGTCTACGACAAGATCCAGAGTGATATCGCAGCCTCGGGCTTGAAGAGAGGTCTCTTCAACATGGCCATGCGGGCCAAGGAGAAGGAGATCGCCAGGGGGGTCATGCGGCGGAACGGCTGCTGGGACAAGTTGGTCTTCAAGAAGGTGCATCAGGCATTTGGCGGAAATCTTCGTCTAATGGTCGTGGGATCGGCCCCACTGGCGGGCAACGTGCTCACCTTCATGCGCTGTGCCCTGGGTTGTTTGGTCCTCGAGGGATACGGACAGACGGAGTGCACGGGGGCCATAACCCTCACCGTTCAGGGTGATCATGTGCCTAACCATGTGGGACCACCGGTGTCCTGCAACGCTGTGAAACTGGTGGATGTGCCGGAGATGGAGTACTTTGCCAATCAAAATACGGGGGAGGTGTGTGTGCGAGGATCGAATGTGTTCCATGGGTACGGCAACTAAATATCACTGTAATACCGTAAATTAAACCATTTAATACTTATTTAGTTACTATAAGGACCCAGAGAAGACGGCGGAGGCCATTGACTCGGAGGGCTGGCATCACACGGGCGACGTGGGCATGTGGCTACCAAATGGAACCCTAAGGATCATCGATCGCCGCAAGCACATCTTCAAGCTCAGCCAGGGCGAGTATATAGTGCCCGAGAAAATTGAGAATATCTACACGCTCAGTCAGTACGTTAATCAAGTCTATGTTTATGGAGAGAGCTTAAAGGTAAGTTTATACTAAAAACTTTATATTACTACAATTTTGTGTAAGAACTTTTTAAAAAAGTAACGATTATGAAGAAATACAGATTTATTGCACTTTGTTTTAAATTTTTAACGATCCTTTTTTAGTGTAATATTTGAAAGAAAATTGCATACAAAAATGCACTTCTTTATCTATCACTAATAAATAACTTATTCGTAGAAAAAATCTAATTTCCTCTTCCAAAACACTTATGAAATTTGCTTTTTAGATTTTTAAAAATGTTTTCAAAATTTTAACATTATTTTAATTATTTATTATTATTACTCGTAAAGTAAAAGGGAATATTGTAGTCTGTCCGTCTGTCTGTATGAACGCTTAGATCTCGGAAACTACAAAAGCTATAAGGTTGGGATTCATAAGTTTAAATGCCATTTTGCTGTGTTTAAAGTCCATTAAATAGTTATGAGCAAAAAAATACTTGGCCGCTAGACGAAGCCAAACATATCATAAATGAAATATGTCAACGTTTTGAATATATGTTAAAATAATAGATATTTATTTCATATTTATTATTATTTTTTAGAGCTGCATTATCGCGGTTGTTGTACCTGATACCGATGTACTGAAGCAATGGGCCACGGAGAACAATGTACGCGGCACACTCTCCGTCCTGTGCAACAATAAAAATGTCAAGGAACTGATCATGGACGACATGCTCAACTGGGGCAAGCAGAGTGGACTCAAGTCATTCGAACAGGTGAGTTGATAAGACCTTACTGTGTCGAACTTAAACTTACATATCGGATATTCAATTTTAGGTAAAAGATGTCTATTTGCATCCGGATCCCTTCTCGGTGCAAAACGGACTGCTGACGCCCACATTCAAAGCCAAGAGACCGCAATTAAAGAGCTACTTCAAGCCACAGCTGGAGGATATGTATAAACACCTGGATTAAAGCAATACCTATAAAGAAATCAACAACGAATCGAACTCAAGAAACTGGGAAGCATTCATTCAAATATGCCTATACCATTTTAAACTGATGATAACAAAGACTACAGATACGGATACGAAAGCGAACTGTCTAATTTTGTAGTTTCGTCAATTCTTAGCAACTAAGAGGAGCGCAAGATACACCAGATACAGATACAATACACATAAAATATACACAACTTTTCAAACTGACAAGGAAAATCCTTTTGACAGCCGCATTTTTTTATATAATTTAATCGAGAAGCGATCCCTCAATAATATGTTAACTATATATTTCCTTTAAACACTTATGATTCTAGTTCAAAGTGAATAGAAAACAATTGCGTAGTCTGAACCAAAACATATATAACTAACATATTGAGCAAATTGAATAAAATGAAAGCTTTAATTAACTATCGTATTCTACACTCACCTTTAGATGGAAAACTAAAGTGAAGAATAACATTTTTAAATTATATACTAGACACGCTAAACTAAATTAATGGGAATGAAATGTTCAACGCAAATGCTGAGGAAATATATTTAAAAAACAATGGAACTTCAACTGAGAAGCAGATCAAACTAAATAATAAATATGAAAAAGATCCAATTCTTTGGACTGCACTGTCTGCCTTACAAAAACCAAATGAAAATTTATTAATAAATTGCTAAAATAATAAACTATTTCATATTAAGAGCTAAACAATAAAGTAAAGCAGCATTATATTAAAATTATTAAATAATTTCTTTATGTAGATACAAACGCAAGAGAATTCAAAATATAATTTGAAAAATTAAAATAAAAAAAAAACAAATAATACATTTTTATTAATTTTATTTATGGCGTTGCCACGTAATACAAACAGGGAAAAGCTTTTTCCGGATGAAGATGCCTGACCGCCCCAAATAATTGGAAAATAGCGATGAATTTAATTTCTATTTGCTCCAACTTTTAATACATTTGAAAAACTTTTCAACTTAAAGGCGCGTTCTTTGTGTATATAGTTTAATGACATTCAATTTCAGCTTAATTCAATAAGTGGCCATAGCTCTTGGAATGCAAGACAAGAAAATCTTTTAAAAATCGAGTTGAAAGAACAATTCAGACTTTAGTGAGCTGTTTTGTGTGTTTTACGTTATCAATCGCATTAAGTTCTATTTAAAATGTACAAATGTGTTTAGTCGCAATGTCGGGGGATATGGGTCTTAGCTACGTAATCAAGAGTGTATCCATCGATATCTGACTTAAATTCACTAAACATGTTGATTTAACTACGCGTTGATCACAGCTCGCCGTGTTTGGGCTCATGAGAAGGCGTCGCAGTGGTGCCCTTGCCCTCCACCGAATCGTCAACAGTCGCGTCCCTGCCATGCGAATTCTCGTGATCCTCGATGCGAGCCAACAAGGTCTTCAACTCGGCATCGTAGTCCTTCCACTCGGGCACAATCCTCTGGGCGGCGGTGAGTTTGGCCTCCTTGGTCTGCGGATTGTTGCACAAATCGATCACCTTGGCGCTCTTGAAGTTGCTGTCACTGCACCACGTCTGACACCACAGCCAATCGTCGGGCAGCGACTTGATGGCCACCTGGTGGATCATGTTGTTGGGCAAATCCTGATCCAGATTGGACAAGCTGTTCGGATCCTGGCTAAGTGCCTGGTACTGGCCTCTCAGCCGATCTCCTGCTGCAATCTTGCGGAATCTCTTCAAGTCCACCACATACAAAGCGGAAATGTGGTAACGTCTGCCCATCAGATGGCTTCGCCAGTATCCCTGCTTCCAGAAACGGAAGCCCTCCATCTCCTTGCGCGAATCGCAGAACGGTGTGTAGGCATAGGGCGCTCCGCCGAGATCCAAGTCATACAGCTCCTTAATATCGGTTCTCACAATCGCATCGGCGTCCACGAAAATGATTTTTCTCACATTAAGCGGGAAGAGGACGTCCAGGAAGAGGATCTTGTAGCCCCAAATGGTCCGCTGTTTCTCCGTCTGCTGATGCAGCCAACGTGGCCATTTGTATTGGACCAACTCGTATTGGAAGTTGTATTCACTGGCCATGTGCGGCAGGAAATCCGTGAACTGCGGGGAGAGGTAGTTCTTCAAAAACCAGAATTTCACCGGAGATTTGGTGTGCTTCAGCAGAGAAACCATCATGATTCTCAGCAGACGTTCGTAGAGATGTCCCGAGGCCACAGAAAAGATATTAATGGTCTCGGCATCCTCGTCAGTGGCCGGCTGATTGGCATTGCTGCCACCGAAACTGCTGGCGATGCTGTTCCAAATGCCCGATTGCGCTGCCTGTTCGTTGTCGTCCGCCAGGAGTTCAGCCTGTTGCATGCCCGGCTTCTTGGAAACCCTCAATTTGACGACATGCGACCGCAGAGAGGTTATAAGAACCTGTACTTCAGATGATCCCACGGTGTGATGGGTATTGGTTCCTTCAATGTGACTAATTCCATAGATATCCGCTGATTTTCCTTCACGCAGGCGTAGTGACCAAGCTCCAGGATTTGCTTTCAGTTGGAAATAACCCAAGTTGGCCATAACAATTGTGTCCACTAGAGTTGGTTGACTTGGGGTACCCAACACCAGCTGTAATCCTCGCGGTGGAGCACCACTGGCAGCATCAAAACAGTGACCTTCCAGAAGCAGATACTCCAAATCGAATTCGCTGTGCACGGGTCCACCAATGTCGCTTAGCTTAATGTTATCCAAATCGTAGACGGCTCGCACTGCTTCGACCAACCAGTTTTCGGGAACCTGCAGCTGCTGGGTCAGCAAAGGATTCGCGGGCAATCCGCTGAATTTGGCCAACGGACCATCGGATCTGCCGCCACTCACCTCGAATTGCACCTCTGGTTCTACGACATATCTGTAGAAGTTCTTCACCGGCATATCGCTGTGCTGGGGCACAGGAATTAGGAACAGATTCAGTTGGCAGTTCAACACTTGACGGAGGAGAATCAAAATAGGCGTTAGTTTTTGTGCAGCTCGAGAGGCTGGGTCCAAAACGGCGGCAATATCGAAATGCGGCAGTTTCTCCTGTTTGGGCGGCAGTTTCACAACGGAGTGATCGGTTTTCAAGTCCGTAGGCAGCTTAAATCGAGTCTTGGTTTGCCTGGGAAGCAAGCTGGCATAAAGTTTAAGCAACGTATCGCTAGTAAATTCCTCACTAACATCTTGAGCGGATTCTTTTAGAACCTGTCGCACTTTATCGCCATACTGCAGGGAACTAAACCTGGCCAGCAAAGCGAAATCAGCGCTATCAAAGGTTTCCTCCGAGGACAGCGGGCCATAAAGCCGTCCATTACCGATGACCAAGCGTTGGGACTTATTCAGGCCCAGCACACGCTGGGAATAAACCCTCAGCATCTTTAGGTGCAGCTCCGTGGAGCCCAGAATGTCCTCCAACTGCGAAGGAATCTCAATCTTTTCCTTGGGTTTCTTCAGCCACTTGAGAGCCTGCTCGGTGGCTTGAGTTGGTGGCAGACTCTGCATGGCAGCCCAAACTAGGCGATTAAGATTTCTCTTCTCCGATCCTGAAGGGCCTTCGGTATTTGGAATAAAAGCCAGACGCACACTCTCGCCGCTCTGGACATATTCCAAGGCATGAGTGAGTAGAGCTCTACCCTGTTCAGTCTCCAAGTCCGCAAACACCCAAATTGTGAGGAATTGCAGCGACGAACGGCCAATCAGTTCCGTAGACTTCTTGCCGCCAAAGTACTTGAGATTCTCCATCAACGTGGCGGTCATATCGCGATTCGACAAACGATTTAGTACCCCTACATTAGCCAGATTCTTGTAGGCTACTCCATTAACGTCCAGATATTTGACATCCTCCTGGCTGAGAATTCTCTGATTTAATCTGGGCATCACATGGGGTTGGTTCATCAGGTAATCGATTGCCACATCGCTGTCCGTCATTTCCCCTTTGTACACGGCCTTTTGCAAATTGGTGGTGTGGGTCATGATCTCGGTGAAAATTGCCTCCTCGAAGTCACTGTCGGCGGTCACAACGTTGCTGGGCATTGGTACACCGTTGAGCAGAGCCTGCGGTTGACCCTTGTCGCCGAAACCCAATCGCTGGATGAATTCCGAAGCCAGCTCCCTGCCATAATCGTAGGTTGAATCCTCCTCCAGGAACTCCTCCGCTTTGCCAAAGCTTAGGGTAGTAAACTCCTTTGTGAGTTGCTTTACTATATCCTTTTTGGTCACCACTCTGGTCTCGCCCACTGATGCATAGATATCGGTGAGGAAACTCAGCGCAGCTCGGGCATCTTTCTTCTGACTCACATAGTTAAAGGCACAACTGATGGCTATGTAATCCCCCAGATTATCCTCGCTGGCGTCCCTCGCATCGAAGACCAGTCCCAAACGAATGGGCGCCTGATGAATGACAAATGATTCGGACAGCTTAATGACACTCCTGGCTGTGGGCTTCAGTGCATCCACCACCAGAACCAGATTGAACACATTCTTGCGGATATTCCTCAGCATGCCGGGAAACGTTGGCCGCAGGAGATCCATTACAGAGGAGGGCCACCGCCTGTACTGTGCATCGTTCTCTATATCGTTGACCCACTGCACAGCTGTGTCCCTGATATCAATTGCGAACTCCTTTTTGCTGGAGGCCGTAAGATCCAAAGCGAGCAAAGAGCTGGCTAGGCTGCCCCTTACATTATTGCTGTGCAGACTCTCGAGAACTCGCATCTCCGAGCGCAGCGTCTCAATCAGGGAATACAGATCCATGGTGTCGGCATCGAAAAACAGTCCGTTGATAAAGAGGGCTCCATCGGGAGGCGCCACATTCAAGCTTCTGCCAAATGCTTCCGTATTGTGCTTGACCTCCGCCCTCAAGCCATCTGTGACTTTATGGGCCAGCAGGGTTCTGGCCAACATGGGGAAATTGTGGGCAGTGTATTGAAGTATCTGCAGAGTTTCATCTCCCTGAATTTCCGCAACGGCAGCGGCTGCTTGGAGACCCAAATCCTGGAACTCCCAGGCTTTCAGTTGGGCAATCTCATCGTTGCCCTGAAGAAGCCTCTGACGCAGTTGATCCAGTGCTCTCTTAAGTGAAGGATGTTTCTGCTTCAGAACCTTAAAATCAAAGCCCTGGACATCGGATTCATTAGCCAGATCCTCAGCAGAAGCAGAACCCGCTTCAGGCTTGGGGGCATCATCCTGGCTCTTGTATTCCGTGGACTTCAGATGGAGTTCAACTCCATAGCCCGAAAGACGCACCGGTCGCTTGTCCTGCTTGGCCAACTGATGACGCAGAATGTAACGAATCTTGCCGGCATTGGCTTCTTTTTCCAGTAGCTTGTGGTAGGTGCGGAATTGCGAGCTGCCCAAATCGCCGTACAGAACCACAGTGCGGGTATTGTTCTCACTGCCGGGGAAGATGTGATCGAAGCTGTAGGTGACCACGGCGGCATCCAAGCTCTCCTTGGCCAGCGGCAGTTCGAGCTTCTTCTGCAGTTCGCTGAAGCTGCAGGCCAACTCGGATCCCACCTGGGCGAAAGTTGAGCCCTGGCACGAGCCACTGCTCCTCAGCTCCTGGGCCAACTGGAAGTGGGTCTGAATCCTGGGCGTCAGGCTGTGCATCGAGACCACCAGCTTGAGCAGCGGCAACTGCGGGGAGCTCACATGGCTTTTGACCAGCTCCACAGCGGCGTTGTACTGCTGCGACTCGGTATCTAAAAGGGGGGGTAGGGTAATCGATAGATCAGTCGGTTTTGGGGAGATAGTCGCATCATAAGGCTTAGGGAATTGGGTATTTTGGCACTTTATTCTACTAAGTGTAATTTTTGATTAAATTTTTTATTAAGTTGTATTGGTTTTTAAGGGCAAAAATTAGTATAACTGCTTTCTGAAATGGTAAAAATTAGTTTTTTTTATATCATTTTTTAAAGTGAATTGAACTGAATTTATTTAAAGTGTTATTTTTGATTACCTTATTTAGGTTTTTATAAAGTAATATTGTTTTTTTAAGGAAAAAATTTGGTGTAATTACTTTCTGAAATGGTAAAAGTTTTTTTTAAATACTTTTTTTTTAAGTTAATTGAACTGAATTCATTTAAAGTGTTATTTTTGATTACATTATTTAAGTTTTTATAAAGTAATTTTGATTTTTAAGTGGAAAAATTGGTGTAATTGCTTTCTGAAATGGTAAAAATTAGATTTTTTTAAAATACCTTTTTTTAAGTAAATTAAACTGAATATTATTACACTTATTTCAAAATTGTATGCTAATTTTTTTGAAGAATTATTATTCCCTACACATTCCCTTACAAAAGAGCCCTTAGAATGCGTGCTATCCCATAAGTTCTTTACACCAACCGTATTCATTAAGAGCCGTGTCCAACTTGGTCACCCCCGAAACGTAATCCCAGAAGAGGCCCGCCTGCTCATCGGCCAGATATTCGGCTATCTCCAGATACAGCGGCGTCTGCGTCCACTTGGCATTGATCAGCGTGGTAATGGGATAACTCTGACTGGATTCCCCAGAAATCGGCGTATATAGTGCCAGGAGCACCACAGACACACACAAAGCAACGGCACGTAACATTGTTTCCACTCGTTTTACGGTGATTCCACCTCGCACATTACGGTTGCGGAAAACAGAGAAGACCTTGGGGCTTTCCTTTCCAGGTATCTTCACTTTTCACCAGTACTTAGCTGGTTTTAGCCCAGTTTTTGTTAATTTAATTTAGAACTGATGTGGCGTTATTATTTCGACCGGCCTGCCGCAGAGTGACCAACGCCCCCGCAGAAAACTATCGATATGCGAAATTCCAGCACCTGAGAAGTATTTAAATGGTATTTCATGAGCACATAATTTATTTGCAAATTCCGTTGCATTAAATGATTATACAAAATCCTAATTAATAAGATTGGGAGTGGGAGGAAAAACTACACTAGATAATTAATTATTAAGATAATAAAAGAAGAAAATAAATAACTCCCATTTTCAGTATTTTTTTTAGTATTTAGCTTAGTCTTGATGTGCGAGTACTATCACTCTAATTTGTTTGTTTACAAATTTTACCGCGAATTTCGTCACTTAACTTCGCGCAAATATTGCCAATGAAATACACTTTAGAGGGCAGCAATGCAAGGGGTATGCTATGTTAAAAACCATGTTAACAATAAACTAATTAAATTTACATTTGTAGTCATTGCCAAAGCCGTACAATCGCTGTCCAAGGTGGGCAAGGAAATGTTCATCGAGATTGATCAGCAGTCCTTGCAAATGAGGGCTATAAACGCCACTCAGTCGGCGGTGGGCAGCATCTCCTTTAAAAGGTCCATGTTTGAGGTCTTCGAACCGCCGATCTCGGATTTCTACTGCAAGATATCTATGAAGGGATGTTTGGCAGTATTCCGCAACATGAACGAGGTATGGTAAAAGTTTACTAGGCCAGGCAATCCTGATAACTGGATCATATGCTTTTAGGTGGAGTACTGCGAACTCAATATACTGGACAATCAGACCAACCTACAGGTGAACCTCCGCTGCAAGCTGGAGACCACAAAGGAGGCGACCATATCCATCATAGATGACCAAAATATCAACACAAACATCAATACTGATCAGATGCCAAATATGTAAGTTTTATTTTCACATTTTCAACTTTATAATTGACTTTTAGATGATTCTTGAACGTTATAACTATAGATTTTTAATTATTCCTTTCAAATCCATCTTTTACCCACAAAAATCCAGAAAATACCATTAGTAAATCCATTTTTAATCACTCAATACACTCTATTCTTTCAGTATCCGCGGTGATCACAAACTGTTTACGGACATCTCGAACAATTTCAACTCCTCGGAGGAGGAACTAACCTGGGAGGCTAATTCCGGCAGTGTGGTGGCCAAAAACTACATAGAAGGGGCCCGAGTGAATGATAAATTCATGCGGACGCAACTCAAGCTCAAGCCCAGTGAATTCGATCAGTACCAGGTGACCAAGGAGACGATCATTACGTTTTGCATCAAGGAATTCCGAGCATTTCTGCTTTTTGCCGAGTGCCTAAACGCTTCGCTGACCCTGGAGTTCGACGAGGCGGGAATGCCTTTTCTGCTGAAGATCAAGAAGCATGGCGAGATTGAGTGCCTGCTGATCATGTCGACACTATCGCCCGATGATGTCAGCTTTTCGGAGGATTACTGTCAAAGGGATTTGACTGTGCAGGATTCCGATGTGCAAGAAACGGCATCGAAGCGAAAGAGCAGTGCAAATAAAAGCAGCAAACGCAAGAGCAGTTCTTCGGAAGCGGCTGCAGTGCAGCCGAAGCGGAGATTGGAGGAGAGCCAGTTGGAAACGAGCCTCGAATCGCCGCTGTTTCCGTTCCGCCACTCGGAGGCGCCTTCCGTTCAACAGCCTCGCAACCTAGCCGAGGTGGACACGGTGGTTTTGATCGAAGACGAGGCGGAACAGGAGGCCCTTATGCTGGCAGCTGCAGATGCCGCCTTGGAGGCCAGCATGGCACCTGCTCCGCCGCCTGCCAACAGCACGGAGCTTTGCTTCATCAACACGGACAATTCGAGGGAGGGTAAACCGCCGGAATCGTCTTCAGATGAGGGTGAAACCATTCCACAGTCACCGGAACGGCCGAACAAGATGCGAACCATCTTCTCGAGGTGCTTTCAGAGCACCTACGTTCCGCGGGAGCCGTCGCCAAATACCCAGATATATGCGCCCAATTCCGACACAGAGGATTAGCCTAGATTTGATCGTTTATAAGCAAATACAATGTAGGTCGTCTAACTCAGCTAGCTTTCTGGATGTTTACATGCGGTAGGAAGCTGCTGGTCATTACGGCAGCCACCCGGGATTGCAGTTCCTGGGCGTTCCTTTGGGCCTGTTGAAGAGATGTGTGTGCCGACTGCAGATTCACCTGGGATTTGATGAGCATTTGGTCAGTGGTCACGAGCTGCTTGGAGGCATTCAGCACAAAGCTGCGGGTGAAGGCAGTGAGCGATCTCCAAATGGCAATGTTGCTTTCAACTGGAAAAGGGTGAAGGGTTGTTAAATATGATTAAGGATTTAGCGTAGTCAAGTTACTGAGTTTCCGCTGGAGCAGATTGTTCCGGTAAATGGATGCCGTGCTGTTCACCTGGCTGCTGGTTCGTTGTTGTTCGTAAATGTCTTCGTCGTCCTCTTCTTCGGAGGCTTCCCCCGGAACTTCAGCTGCAAAAATCTGCATTAAAAACATTATAATTGTAAGGTGACTTTACTATAAAGCTTCTAGTCACCTTGTGCTTGTCCTGCAGTTCCTCATCCGATTCGGAGGCCTCTCCGCTCACCAAATCCGCCATTACTTGTTGATTTATAACTTTAGTCGGAATGTAAATAAATGTTATTTACGAAATGGCAGCTCTGTTGTAGTGCTGCCACATCGATGGCAGTTGCTTACATGGGCGCAGTGAAGGGGTTTTTACCAGGGACCATAAATAATCATTATTTGAGATTTTTATTTTAAAAAGACTACTGTGATACTTTGTTTTAAACGTCAAAAATAACGTTCTTTTTACTCTTGTCCTCAATGTATATGCATTTCAACATATCTGGAAAGCAAATTAACTGTTATTTGTTCATGTCTATAAAGTGCATAAAAACCAGTCCAATTGTTGATTAAAATATGTAAAAACCTCAGTAGGCCTTTTAAAATAAAAATCTCAAACAATTATTATTTACGGTTCCTAGTTTTTACTGTAATTTGTAATTTATTTTCACTACGTTTGAGTCGAAATCCAGGACTCATAACCATAACCAAATAAAAATACATTCTTTTACAAGCAGATATTTTTTAAAAGAATTTATTTAGGACTTTGAACATTAACTAGAAAAGCATGCTCCAACGTTTGTACATGAATAAGACCTTTGCACAGAGTTTAGGATATTGCACGATCGGATTTTTACTGGAAATACTTCTGCAGATCGCCCGTTTCAAACATTCGTTTAATGTCAGTTCCGCCGCCGATGAACTTGCCATTGATAAAGACGCGGGGAACCTAAAAGTTACAGAAAGGTAAGATAAAAAGTGAGTATAATGCTGTTATTGATATACCCACCGTTCTGGCCCCTGTGATTTCTCCCAGAACCGCCTGAATCTCGTTCCCATCGGGATTTCCATCGAGTTCTATTACGGTTGCCTCGACATTGAGCTTTCGGAAGGGCTGGAACAGAAAGATTTAATCTCAATTCCGGACTTTTGAAGGTCTCAGCACTTACTTCTTTCGCCATCGTGCAATAGGGACAGTAGGTCTTGCTAAATATCACCACCTTATTGCTGGCAATCGTGTTTTCAACGAATTTCGCTTGTTTGGTAGACATATCGACGATTGGCGACCTCAGAGCGGATCCAACTGCGCCCATAAGCTCGAAGTCAAGAAAGGGGTACGGAAACTTGGGGGGCGATGCGGGGGCCAATGAAAGCTGCGATAGATGTAGGCTGCGGGGAATTATCTCTTATTTTAGACTCTTTTTTAATCACCAATGTGCAATCAGCTGTTTTGGCTAAGGGAGTTGCCACGCTGGGTAATTACCATCGCGTAATCAAAAACATGTTCAGCTCTTTTAATATTTTGTATATTCATATAAAATATAAGGCATCTGTAGGTACATAGGTGTACAATTAAAATACAATTATTATAATAAAAACAATGTTCATTTTAAATGCTGTCAAAACATCCAGTGGGTTGCCACACTGTAAATATTTGGGGGATTCCTTAAGATTCGTTTTTAATTTGATAAATATCTTTTAACGAACGCCCTTTTTTTTAATTTTTGTTTTTAAGTCAAATTTACGACATTTTAACTATTTAAAACGAAATCAATTAGATTTTGGAATCCCCTTCAGAATATTTCAACAATTTACACTGCTATTGCACTTAAAGGCACAAAAGTGAGTCTTTTTCGAGGTGTACGTGAGTTATCCATTCAGAAATTGCTCCAGAGCATCCTTCGTCTCCACTTCGTTTGCTTCAAGAACCACTTCCTCCAAGGCCAACTTGTTGTTGGTGGTTTGAATTTCTAAAAAGGAGAGGTGTTATGTCAATTCTTCAATGGATTCTATATTAACTTTACTTGGTAGCTGGCCGTGCTGTTTGTACTCCTCCATATCGCCGCGGAAAGCGTCATCAAAGACAGCCTGCCGTTCCCTCTGCAGTTTCAATAGCTTCTGCTCCTGATCCTTGATCTTGGATTGGTGTTTGGAGGCTATTTGTTGGCGATATTGCTCCAATTCGTTGAGCTTTTTCTGCTTGTGTCGCGACAATTGAAACTGCTGCTCGAGGATAAACTCCTGGAGTTCGCACTCCTCGCACAGATCCTCTAGTTTTTCCAGCTCCACCTCCAATTGCTGGCCCATTTGCTCCAGGGAATTCAGGACGTTTGTGCTGGCCTGCAGTTGGGCAATCAGCGTGGGAATTCCCGCCAGACTGCTGTTCAGCTCACTGATGATCCTGCGCTGATTGATGGCTTTGTTCTGAACCGCGGAGATTTGGGAGGCAACCTGCGCAGCCTTCTCGGCGTTCTCCTCGTTGGCACCATGGATCTGTTGCCAATCGTCCTCGTATTTGGCCAACAAACTGCAACCCGCTGCCACATTGAGGTGGCTAGGAACGCCATCGGTTAGCTGGAAGGGAGCACTTAGGGAGAGATTACTGCTCCGGCTGGAGGACAGACTTTCGTTGAGACCCAGTTGAGGCGAAGTGGGGGTCGTAATCCCACTGCTTTGGGTGCTCGAACTGACACGCTGGCGATATTGCTGCTGCAGATTTTCCGATATCACCAAGCCCTCCTGAATCGCACTGCTCAGCTTCTTTTTCAGGTTTCCAAACATTTTGCGGCCACTGATCTGTATTTATTTAACTAAGTAATTTCTAATCGTCTCCGTGATGGCGTTTTCCATCGAAAATTAATTGGTAAATAAAGAATCAGCTGTTCGGGCAGGTGGCGAGAGAGAGAGTGAGAGTGGGAGAAATCGGTCAGAGAGAGCAACAGTTTAATACCCTACACATGGGACATATCTTCTTGTGTAGGGTATGGCATACCCACATATGCATAGCTAGATTACAAATAAAATACGTTATTTTAAAAAAATATGCCCCCTATTATTATTTTAGGTAAGCACAATCTTAAGAAATAAATAAAGAATTTAAAATCATATTTCAAAGAGATTTAATACAAAAATATTGCTTTAAAATCACTACATAAGTTTATGAAAAAGAAACATTAAAGAAAAATATATTTTTAACTTATTGTTTTAAATAGTATTATACATATAAAGTAATTGATTTTTATAAGCCACTTTGGCCACTTCTTTGGTGGATATTCATAAAATAAACATTTATTTTGATTCACATTTTAATCAAAAAGGTAATTCATTTTTTTAGGACTAGCTGAACATCTAATGAATTCATTACAATTGCTGGGTTCACTCTTATTAAATTAAACAATATATGAAAAAAGTTTTTTTACAACTTTTGATATGAGTCTCATCTTATCATATAATAAAGAACAAAACCTCTTCCAAAACAAAAACAAAATAATTTGGATGTAGGTTTTTGGTTTTGGTATTTATTTTGTTAGCTATATAAATTCTTTGTGATGTTGGTCAACGACTATTAAACTGTTCTAACTAAATTTTAGCTTAATTAATCCTCAGTCAGGTCCACGGTGTTAAGGGCGGCACTTTCGTCCACCTGTTGCTTTTCGTTTTCAGGTTGAAGCGCAGGTTCAGGTTCAGTTGCTTTCTTCGTCTCTTCATGGCACTCAATTATTTCTATATCACTATTGTTATCCGATTCCTCTAGGTTTATGCAGCTGCCAGCGCTATCCTTGGAATCGGAGTCAGAGTCTGAGCTTGAGGAATCGCCACTAGACTCGGAATTCGAGCTTACTTTAATGGTGAGAACCTTTTCCCCTTCGTCGCTGGATGAAATGGACAGGGCATCGGGCATCTCGGACTTGTCCTGTTCTTCATCGGACATTAGTTCCCGGACTATATCGCTTAGAGGAGAAGATGGCCGTTCCTTGAGTTCTTTGGCTTTCTTTTGACTATTCGCCTTGAAGACTTGGCCATAGGCCATGGCCACGGCCAAAGCCATTTGCTTGGAATGGTTGAGGAACATTTCCGAAGGTTGGACTATGGGTGTTGAATCGGTGGGTGGTATTTCCTGACCCCAACTGCTGCTTCTGCTTCTGCGACGTCTTCGTTGAGACTTTTTGTGCTTCTTGACCTTCTTCTTGTGTTTCTTCCTGCGATGTGAACGACTTCTGCTGCGACTAGAACTACTGCTGCTCCTGCTTCTCCTCCTGCTGCGCCGCTTCTTGGCCTTTTTGTGGCGACTCCTGCTGCGACTTCTGCTGGAACTTCTGCTCCTGCTCCTCTCCGCACACCGATATCTGCCTGCATCGCGGTTGTAGAAATAGTTCGACTTCCTCCTTTCATAGACATCATCCAGATCCTGTAGTTTCTGGCGGCAATTGGCTTTTGTGCGCTCGTATTCCCTTCTATTGTGCTGAATTGCCGTGTTTATTGTGCGGCCCAAAAATCGCTTGTTTGGTTTTCCCAACGGATTCACTTTGCGTTCGCTTTGCTTGTGGCTGGTGAAACTGGAGTCCTGGCCTTCGATCTCGCGCATCAGCTCGGCAATGGCCTGGCTAATAGGAAACATTATTTAATTAAACGAACTATGGGTTTTAAATGTAAATATTTACTTTGTAAGTTCCGTGTCCATTTCCATGTAAGGCGTTTTTTTTGTTTTTGCATTAAAATAATATGACCAAGTGGTGACCAACAATAAATACCACGGTTTGGAAAAAAATCAGTCGGTATTTTTTCAAAAATATATTTAGGGTATTCCCCAAACAGTTGATACGTTAAAATTTCAAATCAAATTCAAAATTAAAATTCGAACAGCCGTTATAAATTAAAACTTTTTAAAAACTGTAATTCTCTAATAGTATTATTACCCCGAATGTATATTAAGATATGAAAAACTAAGATATAAAAACTACTAAAATTATATACAAGTATTTTAGGTAAATCATGTTTATTATGTTCAAGCTCATTGATGAGTGGCTATTGTTGAATTATTTGTGGGTTGTTGGGTGGTCCAAAATTTAAGCGAACCCCTTGTTTATATTAAGATGATACATATAAATAATATATAAATATAAGATATACGTATATATATATATATATAGTTTACATTTAAGAGGTCTATGGGAATCGGAGTTCTCCATATGATTAAAATCCAAACTGTTTCCAATGCACCCTATGAAGAGGGTATTATGCGCACATAAAGCTACAAAAAATACCCCAAAATAAACATCAGAGATGCTAGTTCATTATATCGAAGTTCTCTTTACGATAACTGTACATCGGTACAAAATACCATCGATTGTGGCATCCAAAATGGCGACCGGCGATTAAAAATGGCTCAGATTTGTTAAAGTAAACTTTTATTGAGAAAATCACATTAAGTAGTAAGACTAATATCACAGGTGAATCACAATAATTCGTTCCCACATTTCTGGCCAACTATTTGCGGCCTCCTATCACCTTTTGCATCCAGGAAACGTATTTACTGACGCGCGTGTAGATTCCCGGCAAGCCAGGACGAGCGCAGCCAATTCCAGTGGAAACTACGCCCACCAGGTGATGCTCCTTGGACATCAGGGGGCCGCCGGAATCCGCCTGTGAAGGTAAGTAAACCCAGAGCATAACATTTGTGCTGCATCAGCCAATTGAATACTCACCCAACACGAATCAATTTGACCATTCTCATAGCCCGCGCACAATTGCGTCTCTCCAATAGTGTTACTTTTTCCCAGGGATCGGTAGGACTTCTCGCACGCCTCGTTGTTCCAGATCTTAACGGTGGCTTTGAGCAGGACGTCCGATCTATCGTTCTCCGCTTGGTTCTCGTGCGTCCAACCCCAACCAGAAACAGTCCCGTACTCCTGCTCCAAACTTCGGTGACCCTCGTCGGATCCCACGCAGCTGGGCTGGATGTGGGCTGAGAATCGGATCGGTTGCACCAGTTCCAGCAGGGCTGTAGAAAAATATTATTTTACCAACTTGCAAAACCGTGAGGGCTCGTCCTAAACAGGCAATCAATTTCTCTAACTCAAATTATAGTTAAAATTTAAAAACATTACAAGAAGGTAACTGGAATTAAATCTTAAATTCTTTGTTATAATTTTTCAGTTCTTTTATAGTTAAAATTTAAAAACATTACAAGAAGGTAACTGGAATTAAATCTTAAATTCTTTTTTATAATTTTTCAGTTCTTTTATAGTTAAAATTTAAAAACATTACAAGAAGAATTCCAGTAATTAAATCTTAAATCCTTTTTCATAATTTTTCAGTTCTACAAGTAAAGTATAAATCTTTAAAAATTTCAAGAAGGTAACTGGAATTAAATCTTAAATTCTTTTTTATAATTTTTCAGTTCTACAAGTAAAGCTTAAATCTTTAAAAATTACAGGAAGGTAACTGGAATTAAATCTTAAATTCTTTGTTATAATTTTTCAGTCCTACAAGTTAAGTTTAAATCTTTAAAAATTACGCTAGATAATATAATAATATATGATATATATAATACTTTTGAGCAATATTTCGAAGGTTCAAAGCCATCATTACATTATGTAAGGATGCAAAATTCGAACTTACTTTAAAAAGTTATATACAAAGCACATACATACCTATATCATGTTTAACATCATTGCAGTCGTACTGTGGATGGGGAACAATGCTCTTAAAGTCCACCCTCAATGCATCTGGTCCGTTGCCAATCCCGTTGAGATACTCTCTGATGCTGTGCAGACCAACAACTCCTTGGATTTGGGCAGGCTTCATAAATTGCTGCAGCCCGTTGCAGATGCAATGTCCCGCCGTGAGGATCCATCGCTCGGAGATAATTGTACCGCCACAAAAGTGACCTCCACGACGCATTAAGCTGACCATAAAGGGCATTTCGTTGCGCTCCGCCTCGCTGCCACCCACTATCTTGGGATTTCGAACGGAGCATTGCTGATTGGTAACTATCATGGGAATAAGTGGAATATCAATTCGGGTAAGTTCTAAAATTGTATTTGTTTTGTGTCCTGTTTTGGTAATGTGAAGCAATATCGTATTTAAAATTTAAATGATTTATCTGCTTTGATAATCATATATTTTTAAGGAAATTCTTATAATTGTTGGCGAATTTATATTATTATATTTTCAATATTTTTTTTTTAAATTTTAAAAACGATATTTCTGTGGGTATTTTTGATTAAAATGAGAACTAGTCTAGGATTGAAGAAGATCACAAAAGAATTTACATTGGTTATTAGGAGGTGAATCTCATTTAAACAACAAGCTACTTACTTTATAAATTAAGGGATCAATAGTACAAGCGTGGTTCTAAAGTAAATTTTTTCACGCTTTTCACGTTTTATTAAATGCAAGTAGATCACAATTAACAGGAAAAGCTGAACTTTTAAAAACTAACATTAGGGCTGTTCTCACATGGAAGTGTTAAACAATTATTTCATTTAAATAAAATATAAAACAAAAGTTTAAAATATGGAGCCTAAACTTTAAGAACACTGGCGTTCTTTTTCAGATAGATCAAGATAAATATCACATCATATCATTTATTGGTCACATTCTGTCAACTCACAAGCAATTTGGCACTGTCCACACTTCACAAGCGACAGAATCGCGATTACGAAAGCGATTTTAAACATTTTCTGTGTACACAACTAGAGTTCTGAGCACCAAAAAACCGTTAGGCACGGTTCAAGCTTAAACGAAACTGCCACAAAAATTCTGTGCGCCAATTAATTTATATATAGGTGTCTAGGCGTCGTCTCTGTTCCACTGACTTATTTTATTTTCGTCCGGTGTTCTATGCGGATTAGCCGGAAAGCTCTGCGAACCCTCTCTCTCAGCCGCTCTCTTGGCCTGATAACAAACGGAAGTCTGGCATTTAGCACCTGTTGCCTTAAGCTCCGAGCTTTTTTCCACGCTGCACTACCTGTCTCATCGTTTTGTGTGGGTGTCATGTGCACACGTTTTGGCATTTCAATTGGCTCGGCGGGGGAATTAAGGAGCTGCCAAAAATTCGAAAACAAAACCAAAAGGTAAACAATAGCCGAAAACAAAGTTGTCGTATGCGTATGTTTTGCGTTTTATGACCCAACGAAGTTCATGACATTGAATAGTGTACGACAAAAGGTGTGACAATATTTATGCGGAATTTCGTTTGGCACCTCTATAGGGCCGGTTGGAGATCAGTTTATTGCCCCATTATCCTTATTTTAGTATTTTATTTACGCGATTAACACGTACTTAAGGTGTTATTGAGATGGTTGCATGATTAATTGCATTATGGAGAAAATATCGATACGTTCAATTTAATCGTTGAATAACTTGTTAATCATATTAGCTGACATTGCATAATAATGTTTACTTTTGCTTCAGCTTAAAAAGGTTACCCTTTATATACTGGTAATATTATTTAAATATTAAATATTTGTGTGTAGGGATAAAAGTGTTATGATGACTAATTTCGAATATAAACTACAAAATGTGCATAGTTTTCTTTTCTTCGTTTTTTGGTATTATATTAAACTTATCTATTCTTTCTAATAAACAAAATTTCCTAGACCTTCGTTCATTTTTGTAATCGTTACAGTTTTGTCATTGCCTGCATTTGGCATAATTAAGTTCTCACATTGTAGGTAACCTTAGACGTCATATTTCCATCAGCTTGGACTTGGTAATCATCGCGTCTATTATGCAAATGAAGATGTCTGCCTTGCATATGAATATTGCGATGGGACCAAAAATTAATTGAAATTCAATGTCGGTTCAATCCATGTAATATTAGCCGCTTTGACATTAACATTGCCCTTAAAATTAACGTGGCCCACACACTCAATGCAATTGGCGTTATGATAAGGTCGATTTAAATAGCTCATTTATGATAGCCATAAATGCAGGTGGAAGTGCAGTTCTCTAGCAATATTATAAAAACGAAGATAGAAAAGACAGGAATTAAAATAAGCAAACAGGAATTGAAACTGAAAGTTAAGGCGAAAAAGAGCATGACAAATCTCTAGACCAACCCATAAATAATTCATTATCCAGAATCTCGATTCTCAGTCAGAGCAGACAAATCAGTTCAGTAGATCACAGAAATAAGCTTGAATACCAATTGATTTCTTGACTTTGGTTCCTCAACCGAAAACCAGCTACCATCCCATTCGAGTTCATTGATCGCGGCAGTTTGCTGCTATTCAGTTTCGCACTAAATGCTAATTCACAAAACAAATCGGCTATAAAAACACTATCCATTGTCTGCCGTTGACAGGCTATACCAAATATAAATAATAATAACAAACACGAGTGCGGGGCTCCACAGAAACAAGTTTCAAGTGCATTGACACCCGCTTTTGGGCGAAACTTAGGCGCATTCAATGTGAAGGTCGCTTCGATTTGTGGTACTTTTGTTTGACAATTGTTTTCTGCTACACTTTTGTTTTCATTTTGCCAAAGTTCAACGACGCTGCTCTTTGGTGACTAATTGCAAGGGGGAAGTCTTTGGTTGTCGCTAATGCGGGTTAGTTTAGCGCTATAGGAAATGTTTTGGGGCACAGTGAACCCATTAAACTGCAAGTTTTGGGTGGGAAGCAAATAATTGAAAAATATATTTTGATGGCTTTTAAAGA